CTGTGGTCGCCGTCGATGAGGCTGAGGAATTATCAGTTGTTGAAGTTGTTGTGGTTGTAGTTGCTGTCGATGTTGTTGTCGTCGTCGTTGTTGCTGTTGTTGTCATGTAATCATAATCATGATTATCAATAATATTTGTGGGTGTGGTTATTGTTGTTGTTGTCGTCGTCGGCGATGAGTCTTTGGAGGATTTCTCAAATTTTCCTAGGAGCAAAGGACTAATATGAAGTATTTTACTGGGTCGGCGACCGGTTACTAAAAGGCTGTAGGTCATGTAAACAATAACGGGAGGTAGTAGCCGAAGTTTCAAAGGTGTGGTGGCAAAACAGAGGTGGTAAAGGTGGCAAAATTGCAGACAAACAAAAAATGTATTTGTTGTTGAGGGGGTTGAAAGAGGTCAGGGCAACACAGACACACACACAGTAACATCGTTGATACACCACATAAATATTTTGATTTTAAGTGAAAAAACGAAAAAAAATAAATCCATAAAAATAAATAATTTTATTGGCATCAGGGGCCAATGGTAGGCGCGCGCACACAAAGAAGAAGAAATAACAGAAGTAGAAAAAAAAATAGAACACAGAGAGAAAGTAAATAATTGATTAAAAATCACAACTCAACAACATTTATTTCAAAAATGAATTGGAGTCTGGAGTTTAGTTTAGAAGTTAGAAAAAAAAATATTTTATAAAAAAATATTTAAAAAAAGACATTTCAAAAAAGAAAAATATTAAAAAAAATCATTCTAAGTGTGTTGCAATTATTTTTTATTTAAAATAATTATTAGGGAAATGTGGAGCATAGAAAAAAATATTAAAAAAAAAACAAACCTTAAGTAGAACAAATCTGCATTTTTTCTCTCAGTGTAGTACGTATTTTCATTTTTGGCGATTGCTATTTAAAATTTATTTGAAACCCTTAAATATTGATTTCTTATGTCGCATATACGATGAAATGCTATCACAGAAGCTGCTGTGGGTTGGCGTATACTCAATACAATCACAAGCGAATTTAGGCACAGCACGTATACGCCACCCAGTTATTTGTATTCATGTTACTTATACGCATATGATGGGAATTTTTGTATTATGTGATTTATGAACCGTTTTGTGATGGATGATGGTGATTATTATTGACATTTGGCATTTGGACAACATTATATTTGTAAATAATATTTATGTATATAAATTTTATATTATTCACATATTGGACAGACAAATTATGAGAATTATTACCATTTTGATATAAATATTATATTTTTAAAGAATTTCAGTCTCTATCAAGCAACGAGGATAAGGGGGGGGAATATTAATGCTTATAGAATAAAGTTGCACCCTATCTACGATAATCTACAGATTAAGGAGCATGGTGCGTATTGGTGCTGACATACTGCATACGCTCTGATAGGGTCCCAAATGTGTAAAGGAGAGTCTGATTTTGTTTTTATAAGAATACCAAAGTAAAATATTACAGCTTCTTAAATTGCCTTAATCTCAAAGCTCCAACCATTCGTAATTTTATTTTATTATTTTTTATTATTTTTTATTATTTATTATATTATTATTATTATTATTATTTTATTTATTTTTTTGTTTTTGCAGGATTCAAGATCAAAAAGCCGTTTACATCCAGAAAAGAGTTAGGTCTGAATTCGCCTCCAATGTGACCTTATTAAATAGGTCTGGATACATATTAAGTGAAATCTTTGGCATTTTCTCGTCATTTAAGGTCGATCTATTCACCTATACAGATCAATAATACCAGTATTCTTCCTACTCAAGGTCTTAAACTACGGATAAAGAGCATTGAGTGACTGGAAAATTATAAAATATGCATATTTTTCTCAGTTTTATTACTAGATATCATCACAATTAATATGGAGATACATTTCTGTACTTCAGGGCGTATGATTTCTCATTTGTAGTCCATACGCTACGCAAAATGAGATTTTTAGGATTATGGTGCGTATAATCCTTGAGGTGTATTATACGCTTTGAAGGTCTCTCAAAATAAAAAAAGACCTTTGAAACTATTTCAAAAAAAAAAAGTAAAAGTCGGTTATGCCGACAGATGTATATCCCCGGCCTTGAGATAAGATTATTCAAACTGTTGACCCTTTATGGGGGAGGTTCTGAAGCACTTGGCCAGCATTGACCAATTCGTATCTGACCTAAGACTGATAAAAATATTACAACGTGGCAGATTTGAACTGTATCGACTACTTCCTATAGTTTATGTGAGATATGTGCATTTTTTTTTTTTTTTTTTTGGAAAATGTGAAAATATGAAAATACTCAAGTATTTTATTTTCATACTTCATCCAATACAGATAAAAACATTGGTATATGCAAAATTTGAAGGAAATCGAACAATTATATACAATTTTAGACGAAATCATTAGAATCGCGGACTTGTTATGGCAGATATAAGTACTGGAAATTATGACCCTATATTTGGGTTTGTGAAATTCAAAGAGAGTTGGATGCCTCCTTCGCTTTCTTTGAGCGTTTTGTTTTTTTAAAATCTTGAACCCTTTGTGGGGGAGGTACCAGAAGAAATGGTTCAATCTGTACCATATTTATAACAGATCTAGGGTTGATGATAATATTGAGATGTACCAAGTCTGAATTGAATCGGATGTTAACTTCGCGATTTATGAGCTTCATGGATATTCAAAATTTTGACCCTTTATAAGGGAGGTACCAGATGGAGTAGACCGATATATGCCATTTTCACACCAGACCATGGGTTAATAAAAATATTGTCATGTTTATTTCGAATTTCATGATCGTTTTGGTTATTCAAAACTTCGACCCTTCGTGGGGGAAGTACCAGAAAAAATGGTCCGATCTGTACCATCTTTATAATAAATCTTCCGTTGATGGAAATTTTGAGATGTACCAAGTCAGAATGGAGTCCGATGTTAATTTCGTGTTTTATGAGCTTCATGGATGTTCGCAATATGGACACTCTGTGGGGGAGGTATCAAAAGGAGTGGACCGATATCTTCGATCTTCACACCAGACCTTGGCTTAATGAAAATATTGTGATGTGGGTAATTTGAAGACAATCGGCCGCTTACATCACTTTTTATAAGAGTTACAAATATTCAAAGTTTTGACACTTTGTGGGGGAGGTACTTAATGGAGTGGGCCAACATTATCCTCACCTGACCTGGAACTGACGCAAATATTAGGATTTGCAAAGTTGGAGTAAAATCGAATAATCCTTTCTCTCTCTCTGTGCAGTAAAATATTTTCTTTGAAAATGTTGACATTTTGTGGTGGAGGTACCGATATTGACCATCTGCGAACTCGATACAAATTTGACTTTAATATTACGATGTACCAAGTTTGGATCGAATCCAGCCAGACAGATGGACGGACGAACATCGCTAGATCAACTCCAAATGCCCTAAAACGAATTTTGTCCAAAGAGACCTAGGATCTAAAAGGGTTATTTCGAGGAGACACTTTTTGGCCGTATCAAGTGATATAGAGGGTATAACCATATCGCTGAGGGTATAATTATCACTAGATTTAGTCTAGTTGGGGTTATTGTCTTTGATATCTCTTCATAAAAAACTTATTTTTAACGTTGGACCAAAACTCGCAAAGAAGACCCTCATATGAAAACGTAGTTGAAAGAGTCCATTGGAGTTTATCTGAAAAAGTATTTTGGTAGGCATGGGTAAATTAAATATCTGAGGTTGTTGCCCTTGCTAAATTCTATATTCCAAGATAATTTTGACAAGTCACACACTTTTCTTTTAACATCAGATTTTTAAATATGTGAGTCCTGTAAGGTTCAGTGATGAAAATTGTAGTTGCTGCCTTTGCTAGGCCCTATCTCATTTTAGCCTTCATATAAAATAAATTCGGATCAAACTGAGTTAGAGAAGAATAAAACATTTCGTTGGTCTGTTTTCAAAAAGTTCTGCGTTATATTTTTGTCGAGAAAAAAAAACTGAATTATAGCTTTAAATCAGTTTATCTTGGGTACTATTTTTGTCACCTATATAAATAGCCTCCAGAAAATCAAGAATTTATAAGTAAATTTTAACTACAGGTTGGTTGTTGTCTTTGCTATGTTCGCATTTCTCCACACTTAGAAATCGTGTTTACTCTCCTTTTTCATTTTTTATATCAAATTGGTAAGATTCTCAAAATAAAAAAAAAATATTCTTGAACACGGGACATTTATGAGTTGGTGTAAGGATGAGTAATGGTAAAAATTATGAAAATCAAGGGACATTTTTTTTTTTTTTTTTGTTATAGACAAATACAATTTTTGGACATTTTATTTTTAGTTTTTTGGACAAAACACAATCTTATTTAAAATATTTAACTTAAAATATAACCTTCTTCCGAAATAAAAAAACTAAAAAATATGTTATGCTTAAAAGCTAATTTAATTTTTTTTTTTAGTAATTATTTTAGTTTTTGTTAGTTATCCAAAAAAAAGTGGGGTTATATATTATATAAGAAAAAAATTAAAGCTCCAAAGCAACAAAAAAAAAAATAAACAAAAGAAAAAACTAAACTACTATTAATTTAATGTTAGTATTGAGAAAGGGGGGAATTATTGGTTAGCATTTAATGGAAATATTTTATAAAAATAGATGTATGACAATTTGTACATTAAAATGATATTTTTTAGAGACTAGAGATTTAAGTTTTAATCGAATTGCATTTGTGAACCATAGATGTTGTTTCTTAAGCCCAAGTAAAAATATTGAAAAATATTTATTTTTCAAACAGGAAAATAGCGGAAAATGCTTTACAAACCAAACCATGCATTAATAAAAAAGGGGAATTAGTAATAATAAATGTTTAAGTAGCATATGTATATAAGACCATAAAAAATATAAACAAATATTTGAATATATATATCAAAAAAATCTAGCAAAATTATTTATAAAAAAAATTAAAGAAAAAAACAAGGAAACGAAAAACATTTCCCCAAGGGAATTTTTTTGCAAAAAGATTGTCACTTACCCGCTTAGCTCTAGCATTGAACCACGGCGCACATTGCGACGATGGCTGGCGGTGACGGGGAAGGGTCCAGCATGACCCGATTCACCAATGCCCGCCGCCGCTCCTGAACCCGATGATATCGACTGCGAACGTTTGTCCAAACGTGGATTGTAGGGCATTGCAGAAGGCACAACCATTTGGCTGAGGGCTGCAGCCAAGGCGGGATCGGAGCCCCTGGCCGATGAGCCGCCATCAACGCCATCGACGGTCATAATACTGCCACCAGCGCCACCACGGGAACCGGAACTTTCACGACGGAATAGACCTATGACGGACTTGGGCTGTTTAGGTTTGTTTATACCACCTGTTGTGATGGTGTGATGTAATGGGTGTGGTCGTGGATCGGGTGTGTGTTTAGTTGTTGTGCAAGGAAATTCAGGCCGCAGTTTGGTGGGGTAATGGGTGTTTGTGATTTTGTGGGTGTGTTTTCAAATTATTATTTTTTTTTTCAAATTTTAAAGGCATAGCGTGCGTTTTGTTTTGAATTGATTTTCCGAAAAGGACATTTTATAGAAAATACAAAAACAAAAAGTACAACACAAAGTAAAATTATAGCGATGACAAGGCCGTGGTTGATGAAAGGTTTTCGATGTTTTTTTTTTCATTTCGATTTAGTGGGATTTGTTATTTCAAAACAATTACATTCCACATCATATCATAGCATTTAGTTTGATTTAATTTCAAAGGGGCGTTTCCAAAATAGTGTTTGATTATTTTTTTTTATTTTAAAATTTTATTTGTTCACAGAAGAGAAAGGCGTAAAGAGAAAAATTAGAAGAGGAAGAGAAAAAAAAGTAGAAATGGTTTTTAAAAAATTTTTTAATAACAAAAAATAAATAAATTGTATTTTTGTATTGGTAAGGAACGCGCAGGAGAAAAATAATTAAGATAAGAAATTAAAAAAAACACATTACAAAAAAGGGCAATAAAGCCATATATATAGGGATATATTTATATAAATAAAATAATATTTTAATTAAAAACAATTTTCTATATTTTATTTATTTTTTTTTTAATATTTGTTATTATTAATTATACTTGTATTTTTTTTATTTAGAAATGAATTATTTGTTATTTTTTTTAAAGGAAATACACATGTGACGTATACTTCATATGAACTATTAAATTGTCTGAATATTATTCATACGCCAAAGAGCACCATATTTATTTCGTCCCCCAATTCGGAAGTAAGAATTCAGCTAAATAATGTTTTCAAAAAAATGTTTGGGAGGACTAGCACAGACAAAATGCAGATTTTTAAAAATGTTTTAGATTGACTATTAAAGCCTGCAAATGGGGATTTTTAGGAACATATTTAGGAACATATTTTAAGATATTTTTAGAATTTTTGAAAGGACTTATTTTTTATATATTTTTGAAGGACCTAAAGAATCAAACAAATTGGCTTTTTAAGGAATATTTTGGGAAGGAAAAGGAGTCAAAAAAATTTGGATTTTGAAGAATATCTTTGGACGAATTTTAAGATTATTTTCAGGAGGTTTTTTTAAGAATATTTTTTGAGACACTAGCAGGGTTGCTGGCTCTGGAATTTTAATATATTTTGGAAGATAGAAAACTGGGATTTTTAGGAATATGTTTAGAAGAATTTTTAGGAATATTTTTGGAATTTTTAAGAATATTTCCAATATGACTAACAACCGTAAATATAAAGAATATTTTTGGAAGACTAGTTGAGAATATTTTAGAAAGTATTTTTTTTTAACATGATTTCGAAAGGACTATGAAGGCCACCCAAGTTTTTATTTAAAAATGTTTTTTTTTTTTTTTATTTAATTTTCCATTTTTAAGAATATTTTTGAATTTATTTATAAATATTTTCGGATGGGGTTTAAGAATATTTGCAGTATTTTTAGAACCAGCTAACAGCTTAGGTAATATTTGGAAGGATTTGTAGGTTTATCAGGGTATATTTGGAAGGTTTATCAGAGCAGGAAAAAAGTTTTGAAAATACTATATCTTGTCGGATTTTTAGGAATATATTTAGAAGGACTCTTGCTTTTGTATTCAATTTTTAAAAATTAATTTACAAGGGCTTTCAGATTTTTCAGGAATATTTTTAACGGCCATCAGAGCCAAAAAAAAGAGTTGTAATAAACGATTTTTTTGAAAGATCCCTAAAACCCTAAAAGAATGTTTGCAGTAATATCAGAACCAGCAAATAAGGATTTTTAGGAAATATTTGGGAGGATTTGTAGGTATATATTTGGAAGAGTCAAACACAATTTTGAAAGTGCCATATCTAGAAGGATTCTTAGAAATATATTTAGAAGGACTATAGCTTTCACTTCAATTTAAAAAAAAGTGTTTTGTTACAAATATTTTTAGAAGGACTATAAAGGCAATGAAGGTCTGGATTCTTTAAAATATAAGATCCTTAAAAATGTCCTTTTACTTTTTATATGATTGAAAGGAAAGCAAAAGCCCATAGATGCAAAGTCTAAACATGTTTTGGGAAGAGCTTTTAAAAAAATATATTTGCAGAACATTTCAGAAAACCAACAAACGTGGCCCAATGTTGACAAGGATGTCTGAATTTAAACAATTTCTTTAGAAAATGAGTCTTAAATCGTCAAAATACCGAATATTTTCTTCTAGGTATTTTTTAGACGAAATTTAATTATTGCTTATTTGTAAGAGTTTGTTTCAAACTATCATAGCTCTAGTTTTTTAGGGGATACGAAAAATAAAATTTATAGAATTTAATATATTATTTTCAAATATTTATAGGTAAATAGTACATTAGTTATACGTCACATTCAAATTTTTTGTTATTTATTCATTTTATTTGAAATTCTACTGTATTTTTATCTATGGTTTTTTATTAAAATTCTCAAATTGTTTTTAATTAAAATAATTATCAGGACATTGTGTTTCGTATATAAAAAAAGTATATACTGACATTTTCTAATATTTATTTACATTATGTATATAAATATAATGTATAAATAAATATATATATATATATATATATATATATATATATATATATATATATATATATATATATATATATATATATATATATATATATATATATATATATATATATATATTTCAAATAAATATATTTTTATTTAGTGATAATAACTTAATATTTTTTTGTTTTTTTTTACATTCAAACGACATCTAAAACACCAACAAATGATATTGAATAATATTTATAAATACCAGCTTAAAAGAACTATTTAAAAGTCAAAAATTGGAAAAGCTCAACTTCACACGAAAGTGTATCGGGCGAGTGGATACCCTTATATGTATTAGCCTCTCTTATTGACTATTTTGAAAACGAAGAGAAAAAACAACAAAAAGTAGCTTCTGCATGCATTGTTGTTTAAAGAATGTAATAAGATTTGGCGTTTTCTTTTTAAATGGAAATTTTGGCTGAATGAGATGAAAATCCTATTTGGCTGTGATAAGGTTGCTAGTCTCATTGGACTTTAAATTTAAACCAGTGTTTTGTGGAATTTCGTTCTAAGCTATTTTTAATATATATTTTTTACTGGATATTTTATATATATTTTTGGGTATATTTTAAAGATTTGTTCAAGGAATATTTTGAATTTTTTTAAATACAGGGTGAGATAAAAAACTGCAACAAAGTCAAACGCAATAATTTTAACATTTTTTAAAATTTTATTAAATAAAAGCCAAAAATTTCGGAAATAGCATCAAATTATAGAATTAGTTTAGATTTGTTCGAATTGGTCACCTTATGGCCTTTAAATGGTCACATGCTGCCCGAATCGTGATCTGCGATATTTTGGCCCGTTCCCGGCGAAGCACTTGCTTGAGGTGATCCACACTTTGGTATTTTGTTAGTGCCAACCTTGCTCTCCAAAACACTCCAGACACAATAGTCCTACGGATAGGTATCCGGAGATTCTGGTTGTCTTTATGCACTGGAAATGAAGCGAGGAAACTCATTTTGTAACCATTCTAGGGTGTGGGTGGCGCGTGCTTAGTGCGATGGTGCTGAGCCCTGTTGGAATGTCCAACGTCTGCAGCCAAAATATTTGCGTGCCCAAGGCTTTAATACACCCTCCAGAATATTTTCGCGATAATATTCGGCATTATGGCGGCCCATATTATGGTCCATCACCATGGTCAGCGGTTTTGTTCTGGTGGCCAACCGGAACATTTTCACACATTTTCAGCTGACCTCTTTGGCAAGTAAACACGATCATTTTGTTTGTTCACAAACTGCTGGACAACGAATGTTGTCGGAGAAAACCAAATTCGACAGTTCACCACTTTCGGACAAGTGAAGCAACTCTTAAGCTCTTTTGAGTCTATTATCTTTCTGTTGCGGTCGGTGTAAGTTCTTGCACTTTTTGGAATTTCAATGGCTTTACCCCGAGCTCATTTTTCAATATATGCCGAATGGAATATTGCTCAACTCACGAGCCACTTTTCGGCCACTGTGGACGCGGGTTTCGATCAAGTCGCTTCTTTATTTTTTAAACCATTTCTGCTGATGTTGCTGTTTTGATGTTCCTTCCGTCCACTTCCTTGACGTCGGGCTACACTACCAGTCACACTAACGAGAGATGGTACGAGACTCCAAAGATATATTCACATTTAAATGCTGGGGTGCTCTAACGATAGCCAAATGTGGTTTTCCAGCCAAATATAAAGAAATCAGCTTGAATTCCATCACGAATAACTTTTTTTCTGGAAAATTCTCACCAAAATACTTTTGTACGATTGTAAACAATTTAATGGGCCGTCACTGGAATAATTTTAACAGCAGTTGGAAGAGTGGCTTAGAAATGACAGAAGTCTGAAGTTGGTTGCAGTTTTTTCATCTCACCCTTTATTTTTTATTTTCAATGACTATCTTGGGCTTTTTTTAAAAGACTACGAGTATCAATGGGTTTTAATAAAGAATTTTTTTCAGTTCTAGGAATAATTGTTGACTTAATAAAAATACTAGAAATAATTTTGCATTTTTTAAATATTTTGTCAAAGCCCGGAAATCAATGTGAATTGTTAAATAATTACACAGTGCGACAAAATTCATTTTTTTCAATAACTACGAAAAAAATCCTGCAGATTATGAAAGTAGAGATAAAAAGTATCAGTCGGTTTTGCCGACAGATTTATACCTTCAGCAAATTTCATTCAAATTTATTCAAATTGTTGACTTATATGGAGTAGGTTCCAAAAGAATGGGAGACTATTGTTCATTTCGTATTTTTTTATTTTTAAATAATTTTTCCAACGGCTATTAAAGATTATGGATTTCTTTGAGGATAATTAAAGACAAATTATCTTTCTAATTTTTTTTAAATAAAATAGAGTCGCAGATTTAAAAAAAAAAAATAAAGAAATATAAATAAGGATGGATTAAAAAAAATAAATTTTCCCGTGAGTAGGATAATCTTATATATTTTTAAATTAAATGTTAAATGTTAAATTAATTTAGTATTTCACTTTTTTATTGAATATTTTCAAAAATTAATTTTGAAAGGACTATTTTTAAATAAGATTTTCGAGGTCTATTAATAATCGGATCATTTTTAAGAACTAGAAATATTAGATAATTTTTAAGATTTATTTAAAAAGGCCATAAATAATCCTAAGTGAATTATAGAGGCCAGAAAAATTTTGGCTTTTTTAACATTTTTTTTTTCAAGGAAAATATAAATTTTCCACAAAACACTGCTTTTAAATCATCTATCAATCATGATTAAATATATATCAAAAATTATGAAAAATTCTTTCAAATAAATTTTCAGCTGATATTCTAAACTACAATGAGTTGCTGCACTGCAAGGCTACATTGGATTTTTTTGCAAAAAGGAAACGAAACACATTCTCTAACTAAGTAACTAATACTAAAGGTGCAAATTTCAAAAAATGTATGTTGTTGCTAAAAAGAACGCATAATAAAAAAATGCAAAATTCATACTTTACCTAAGAACGTAGCACTTGGTGAGTTATAGGCCAAATATTCTTTATTCGATGCCCAGGCGGGGAACTCATTTTGCTGGACAGCATCGGAAACCTCGTCGCCCTGACGTTTCCATGGCAGCTGGGATTCGGTGGCGGTTGGTGTGGCCACGCGGCGCTCACCATCGGAGTCACGAGAGAGATTGCGATCCTCCTCCGGAATGGCATTCTCTGCTACTGGGGGAGAGAGAAGATATAATGGAAAAGATTGAAATTAGTTTAGGATTTGAAATTGTTTTTTTTTTCGAATGAATTTGAGTTATTGGCAAAAAGCAGCAGTTATGCAAACAACACAAAAGCTAAACATAAACATAACAAATATTTTTTTTTCTTTTTTTTAGAGAACTTAAAAAAATGAAAAATAGTGTGTGTCTAAGAACGGAAAGTGAGGAATTTAACAAACAAACAAAACAAAAAATTATTAAAGGTTCACAAAAAAGTTCACGGGTTGGATGTTTTTCATGCAGGGACACATGGAGAGAGAGGGGTGTGTTTGGCATAAGGTAATATTTTTTTTTTTTTTTTTTTGAAATATATTTTTGAGATTATTTTATTGTGCGTGCAAGGGATCAATTATTGTAAATAATTTTCTGGAGGCTTTCAAATTAAGAATCTGGGATATTTTTTTGAAAAATATTAAAAGACAGAAGAATTTCCAAAAAATATTTTCAATACAAATTTGGGGATTGTTGGAAAAATAATGAATATTTTTGAAGAAATATTTTTTTAATTTCGCATTTGAATATTGTAATGGCCTTTGACTAAAGTTACCTATGCAGGTCCATGTCGTCGTATACACCCTAATATAATAGCTACATTCGGTTTTTTCAGATTTTAACAGAATTTTTAGTGGATTTTATTGTTTTTGAGAATTGCCAAATTCTTTGTAAATGGTGGAGGATATTGAAAGTTCGGCCCGGTCGAACTTACAGTTTTTTTTTTAATATTTAAATTTAATTAATTATTAATTACTTTTATTTAATTTTTTTTAATTTTTTTTTAATTATTTTAATATTTTTTTAAACATTCTAATAGATCTTCTAGAGCTATTTGTTCCAGTAGGGTTTTTTCAGTTTTTTTTTTTTTGTTTTTTTTTATGATTTTCTAAAATTTTGATGATGGAAGAAATTGTGGATATTTTTTTTTTTAAATATTCATAAAAATATTTTTTTATTTTATTTTATTTATTGTTATTATTATTATTATTATTATTATTATTATTATTATTATTATTATTATTATTATTATTATTATTATTATTATTATTATTATTATTATTATTATTATTATTATTATATTATTATTATTATTATTATTATTATTATTATTATTATTATTATTATTATTATTATTATTATTATTATTATTATTATTATTATTATTATTATTATTATTATTATTATTATTATTATTATTATTATTATTATTATTATTATTATTATTATTATTATTATTATTATTATTATTATTATTATTATTATTATTATTATTATTATTATTATTATTATTATTATTATTATTATTATTATTATTATTATTATTATTATTATTATTATTATTATTATTATTATTATTATTATTATTATTATTATTATTATTATATTATTATTATTATTATTATTATTATTATTATTATTATTATTATTATTATTATTATTATTATTATTATTATTATTATTATTATTATTATTATTATTATTATTATTATTATTATTATTATTATTATTATTATTATTATTATTATTATTATTATTACTATTATTATGATTATTATTATTATTATTATTATTATTATTATTATTATTATTATTATTATTATTATTATTATTATTATTATTATTATTTTTCTATTTTAAAAATGTTGTCCAAAATTTTCCAAAAATATTTTATCTTTAATATTTTTTAAGTATTGGCACAGTTATAAAAAATTTGTAATTTATTATTTTTGCTATTTCTATTTATTTTTTATTTTATTTTATTTTATTTATATTTTATTTTTTTATTTTACTTTTTTTAATTTAATTTTTTTTGTTTTTTTTTTAATTATTTTTTGTAAATTTTTTGTAATTAAAATAAGTATTTACAATATTTTTAAAATTTTGCAAATGCTTAAAAAATAATAAGAAACATGTCATCTAAATCTCCAACTTGCCAAACTTATTTACACAATTTTTTACCCACACAATAAAATAATCTCAAAAGAATATGTGAAAAAAGAAAACTATTTAAAAAATATGTGCACAAAACATACAAAATAAACAAAAAACATAAACATAAAAATTTTAAACAAAAAATAAATAAAATAAAAACAATTGTTAACAAAATTTCATGCACAAAAATGCCATGCTTTTTTCCTTTGGAATCTCATTGATTTTAAATTTGAAAAAAAAAAAAAATAATAATATTTTTTATGACGAATTTTCTTATAAAAAAACACAGGAAGTGATATACAATGAGGTTTCTAAACTAAAAAAAAATAATAAAAAATAAATTTCATATTTATTTCATGTCTCTTGCTTTTTAAAGCATCAAAAGCATCACTGTCTAGGTAACTACATGAGGCTGGATGGGATGAACAGAGCGGTAACTAGTTGCTAAATATTGGCAGTCGATTAAATGGAATCGATTTCCATGGTTTTAATTAGTTTCGAAATAAAATTTCAAATTTTTAATGGTTTATTTTTCTACTATTTTGGCAATTTTTATTTTAATATTATTTTTTTTTTTTGTATAGGAACTCCTTGAAGTTTCTTCCTCGGGATTTTCTCTATATATTTTGTATATTATATAAGTAACATTTTTTTACATTATATACACTAATGATTTAAAAAAAAATACTTTAAGAAGAAAAAACATCAAAATTAAAACATTAATCTGGATGGCATTCTAAATAAATTTAAATCAACTGAAATGTAGGTGGCGTATAAGTAATACATCAAGTATACGCCCCGTGTCCAAAGACAAATCTTACATTCAAAGGAGAGGTCTTCTGGCCACAGAAGATATTTTCTGTATACAGAAGAGGTCTTCTGTACACCAGAAGAGGTCGTCTTCTGTACACACAGAAGAGGTATTCTTCTGTCCACAGAAGAGGTATTCTTCTGTCCACAGAATAGGACTTCTTCTGTCCACAGAAGAGGTATTCTTCTGGTTACAGAAGAAATTTTCTTCTGGCCACAGAAGAGGTATTCTTCTGTCTACAGAAGAGGTATTCTTCTGGCCACAGAGAGGTTCTTCTTCTGGCCACAGAGAGGTTCTTCTTCTGGCCACAGAAGAGTTCTTCTTCTGGCCGCAGCAGAGGCCTTCCTCTGGCCACAGAAGAGGTCTTCTTCTGTCCACAGAAGAGATCTTCTTTTGTACACAGGGGATGTCTTCTACTGCCCACAGAAGAGGTTTTCTTCTGTCCACAGAAGAGTTCTTCTTCTGCCCACAGAAGAGGTCTTCTTCTGTACAAGAAGAGGTCTTCTTCTTCCCGCAGAAGAGGTCTTCTTTTGTCCGCAGAAGAGGTATTCTTCTGGCCACAGAAGAGGTCTTCTTCTGACAACAGAAGAGGTCTTCTTCTGACAACAGAAGAGGTCTTCTTCTGTCCACAGAAGAGGTCTTCTTCTGTCCACAGAAGAGGTCTTCTTCTGTCCACAGAAGAGGTCTTCTTCTGTCCACAGAAGAGGTCTTCTTCTGTCCACAGAAGAGGTCTTCTTCTGTCCACAGAAGTGGTCTTCTGCCCACAGACGAGTTCTGCTGTTCACAGAAGAGGTCTTCTTTTGCCCATAGAAGAGCTATTCTGTCCACAAAAGAGGTATGCTGTCCACAAAATAGGTATTCTGGGTACAGAAAGGGTCTTCTGTGTACGGAAGAAGTCTTCTGTTTACAGAAGAGGTCTTCGGTTTACAGAAGAGGTCTTCTGTGTACAGAAGAGGTCTTCTGTGTACAGAAGAGGTCTTCTGTGTACAGAAGAGGTCTTCTGTGTACAGAAGAGGTCTTCTGTGTACAGAAGAGGTCTTCTGTGTACAGAAGAGGTCTTCTGTGTACAGAAGAGGTCTTCTGTGTACAGAAGAGGTCTTCTGTGTACAGAAGAGGTCTTCAGTGTACAGAAGAGGTCTTCTGTGTACGGAAGAGGTCTTCTGTGTACGGAAGAGGTCTTCTGTGTACAGAAGAGGTCTTCTGTGTACAGAGAGGTCTTCTGTGTACAGAAGAGGTCTTCTGTGTACAGAAGAGGTCTTCTGTGTACAGAAGAGGTCTTCTGTGTACAGAAGAGGTCTTCTGTGTACAGAAAAGGTCTTCGGTGTACAGAAGAGGTCTTCTGTGTTCAGAAGAGGTCTTCTGTGTACAGAAGAGGTCTTCTGTCTTTTTTTCTAAATATAATTTTAGCTTTTATGGAAAATTTTCTTAAGGCCAACCATTTGAAAAAAAATTATTCGAATCAAACAAATATACATAGAAAGCTGAGAAACGAGTTAAAACCAGTGCTCTATGGAACTTAATACAACATCACTACAAAGAAAATACAAAAATATATTTTTTTCATAGAGAAAAAGAAAAACCAAAAAAATACTGAAAAATTGCCAATCAGAATATTAGTTATCGAAAAAGAATTTTAAATGGAATATCAAAAAAAAAAATGTTGGCGTTATATCTGTATGAATTCATGAACTCGAGGTATACGCAAGTCAAATAGTTATAACGCAACAAAGTAATGAGAGAGAGCGGGCGAGCGAGAGAGAGCAATACATTTGTCTTTGATTTGTGGATTTTGATTTTTTGCCGACGGCCAACAAAATTACCAATGCTCTGATAGGAACGATCCCTGCGCCAGGGCAAGATTAGTTCGGCCGCTGTCGGGCCAATCGGAGGATCGGGCGATAGTAGTTTCTCAGGACTCTCACTGGGACTACGTGGCTCACGAGCAGTTGACGAGGACGATGGCGTGGCATAGTGCTGGACAATGCGAGCTTTGGAAGCATCAAAACCGGGCAAATTTTGGATGTGAGCAATTAATGAATTGTTATTGGCACGATCAGAATCCGCTGTCGAGATGATGGCATTTTTTTGTTTTTGCACACAGTGTTTTGTTGTTGTTGTAGTCGGTGTGGAGTGTGGTTTGGAGGGTGTGGTGGTGTTACATTGTTATTGTTCGTGTGGTAGAGTTGTAGAGAGTTGTGGTGTTGGTTTTCATTGAATATTTATATCCAGTCGTTGTAGTTTTTGTCATTTTTGTAATAGACATTCATAAAAATATTTTTTTGTATTTTTGTGGCACATTATTAGCGTAAGGCGTAAGTATTTTTTTATACAGTTTCCATTATTTTTATTTTATTTTTTTAAGTAGAAGAATACAAACAAACGAAAGAAAAACAAGAAATAGTTTTTTCAAGTTATTACAAATAGAAAATTTGTGTTAACAAATTTTTTTGGTTTAAAAATTGTTAACATAAATAAAAAAAACCAAAAAAAATAGAGGGAGATAGAATGATAATGGTTTCTTTCTAGCGTTTTCTGTTCGAGTCGTAAAAAAACTGTATTGTGTGAGTCTTTTTCTTTACACCATCAAAAATTACACAACTGCTTAGTTTTGAAATCAAAATATTAAAATAATAGAACAGCTATATAAACATCGTCTAGAGACTGAGCACAGTATGATAATTATGGGAAACAAATTCAAATATTATAATGAACTTTAACAATTCAGATTTTCAATTATAAAGTTAAAGAAATTTAAAAAAAGCGCGATAAATAAAGTTTAAAAATATATTTTTATACCCTCCACCATTGTATGGAGGGTATATTAAGTTTGTCATTCCGTTTGTAACACCTCGAAATATACAGTTTAGACCCCACAATGTATATACAGGGTGAGATGAAAAAACTGCATCCAACTTCAGACTGCTATCATTTCTAAGCAACTCGTCCGACAGCTGTTAAAATTATTCCAGTGACAGCTCATTATATTGTTTACAAGCTTACAAAAGCATTTTGCTGAGAATTCTTCAGAAAAAAATTATTCGTGATGAAATTCAAGCGCGATAGTGTGATTTCTTTATATTTGGCTGAAAACCCACAAGTGGCTATCGTTAGAGCTCTCCAGAGTTTAAATTTTAATAAATTTTTTGTGTCTCGTACCATCGCTCGTTACGGTGATACTGGTAGCGTATCCCAACGTCAAGGAAGTGGACGGAAGAAAACAGCAACATCAGCAGAAAATCAGGTTCGAAAAGTAAGGAAGCGATTTGATCGAAACCCTCGTCGCAGTGGCCGAGAATTGGCTCGTGAGCTGAACATATCGAAATATTCCATTCGGCATATATTAAAAAATGGATTCGGGGTAAAGCCATTGAAATTCCAAAAAGTGCAAGAACTTACACCGCAACCGAAAAAATTAGACTCAAAACAGCTAAAGAGTTGCTTCGCTTGGCCGAATGTGGTGAACTGTCGAATTTGGTTTTTTTTCCGATTAGAAAACATTCGTTGTCCAGCAAAATGATCGTGTTTACTTGCCAAAGAGGTCGGCTGAAAATGTGCACCTTCGTGGTGTGGGCCGCCACAACAACCGATGGTCGCTCTCCGCTCATATTAATCGACCGTGGCATCAAAATAAATGCCGAATATTATCGCGAAAATATTCTGGAGGATGTATTAAAGCTTTGGGCACGCAACCATTTTGGCCGCAGACCTTGGACATTCCAACAGGACAGCACCATCGGACTCAGCACGCCACATACACCCAAGAATGGTTACAAAATGAGGTTCCTTGCTTCATTTCCAGGGCACAATGGCCATCAAAATCTCCGGCGGATACCAATCCATTGGACTATTGTGTCTGGAGTATTTTGGAAAGCAAGGTTGGCACTAAAAAATACCAAAGTGTCGAACACCTCAAGCAAGCGCTTCGCCGGGATTGGGCCAAAATACCGCAGAGAAACATTCGGGCAGCGTGTGACGGTTTCATTGGCAGTTTGAAGGCCATAATTCGTGTCAAAGTTGACCAATTCAAACAAATCTAAACATGTTCTTAAACTTGATGCTATTTCCGACATTTGTTGCTTTCATTCAATAAAATTTAAAAAAAGTAAAAATTAGGTTTTTGACTTTTTTACAGTTTTTTTATCTCTCCCTGTATATATGTAGTCAGTTCTATGCAAGGATGTTTCCTGCATTAAGAGAACCCAAACAGGCAATTAAATGCAAATTCTGTTCAAAGTAGGACTACAATTATATGGTGAATAGAATGATTTTCCCAGAAGGACAGACAGATGAACGGACATGGCTAAATCGAGGAATAACATACCGAATTGGATTTTTCAGAATATTTTTATATAAATGGGAATTTTGCTATTTTAAATCCCAAAAATCAGGATAATCTGAAATAGGAAAAATGATATATATTCTTGATCAGCATAAAATTATATGATATCCCTCCGTCTATCTGTCGGTGGAAATCGCTATAGCTTCTGAACGAAATGATAAAATTTTACTCAAATGTATATTATGTCTGCGGGACTTTGGTATTGAAAATGGGCCAAGTAGGTCAATGTTTTGGTATAGCCCCCATATAACGGTACCTCCCGGAATTGTTTCAAATTTGGTATTTGATGTTCGTTATTGATACTTCGGCCTAAGACAGAAAAGTGTCTGTTCAGGCCCACGTCTTCGTATAGCCCCCATATAGCGGTAACGACCGATATTCGGTATTTTGATGATGCAGGTTCACGTCGTCGTATAGACCCTAATATAACGGCTACATTTGGTATTTTAAAGATTTTAACAGATTTTATTTTTTTTTAATTGCCAAATTCGTTCCAAGTGGTGGAGCATATTCAAAGTTCGACCCGGCCGAACTTATAGCTGTTTTACTTGTCAAAGTTCACTTTGTCAATGTATAAATAATTACAACTGTGCTCAGTCAAAACTCTCTATTTCAAAATGTTACCTTCCTTCAAAATCTAAACACAAATAAGTAATCAAAAAATAATAATAACAACAAAACTATGGCATTTTTGTTTTCATTGAATATTAATATTTAAAAGAAGATATATAGGGTGATCCAAAATGAATGTCTAATAACAAAGTTAAAAAAATACAAAGCATTCCATTTTGGATTACCCTGCATATCTCAGATATAAAACAAATTTTAATTATATTAAAAAACAAATACAATTAATTATAACAAATGCGGGAGAGGACAATTACAAACAAAACAGGGTGGGTCAAGGGTTAGGAAGGAAATTTGATCATCATACCGTCAGCAGGTAGAGAACTTAACAAGAGAAGGATTTATTACTTTTTTGGTTATTAAGCTTAAGGGGGGAATTGGGAAATTTATTTAATTTTGGGATCTTAAATTTTGTAAATATTTTTAAGAAAAAATAATTATTAGACATCAATATAAAGAAAGGAAGATAGAAGATAAAATAGGATTGACAGAAATTGAAAGATTCCGGAAAAATTGCTATTGAGTTGTTGTTAAATAGAAAAAACAAGAACCGTTTACACTGGGAGAAAACCGGTGTTGGGACAGTAACACAGGGAAGAAAAATGAAGAAACCATAAAACCCAAAACTAAACTTCCAACAAAAACAAAACAAAAAATTAACAATAAAACATATATATGTATATTAAAATAACAATAAACAAAACTATAAACTTTTATTTGTGAGTCTTTGGTTTTAATGAATAAAATACTATTTAAAACAAAAAGTGTGTCTACACCACAAAAACAATTAAAACACCTAATACTTACGTGATGATTTCGCCGTAAAGGTCAGACCATCTTCCCAGTCATCGGTTTCATTGACCACCGTCACTTCGGTTAGTTTGTTGTTGGGATTTTCCTCTGCTGATTCATTAAGAACTTCATTAATATAATTATCTTTTTTATATAGAGAGAATATTGAGTCGAATAGAATTTCAGATTTTTTTTGAAATGGATGAAGAGAGCGAATGAGATGATGACATGTGATGATGATGGTATGTATGTATATAGCAGGGAGGATCAGGTGTTAGTGTGTTTTTATAAAAAAAAGATATTGATGAATTATTTAAAATTTTTCAGTTTTTTTTTAGAATATTCACATAACGTTGTCCAAATTTGAAGCAGATTAGTGCAGAATGTTTGATGTTGTTGCGTGTATGTGTTTTTTTTTTTTTTTTTTTTTTTTCATAGGATTATAAGAAGGAAAGAGAGAATAAAAAAAGAATGAAATGTATGATTAGGTCTTGATGTGGCTACTTCAAAATCCAATATATATATTTTTTTAATTTTATAAAATAAAAATAATTTTGATATATATTTTTTTAACATGAATCTCTTTTTAGATGTATGCAAAAATGTTCAAATACAAATGATATGGAAATGAAAATTAGGAAAGGTGAAATGAAAATGATGGGAAATTATAAATCAAAAATAGGTAAATTGGAAAGGGAAAGGAAAAAGAAAAATAGAAGAAATAAAATGTAACAAATATGGCAACCTTTACAATTTATGTTAATTAAAAAAAAAAAAATAAAAAATATTCATAACCTTTCTCTTAAATAATAAAAAATATTTTAGTATTATATACTTTTTAAAAACGTGGTGTTTTAAGAAAAGTATTTCTTCGGCGGTCCATCAAACTTGTGAATACAGATTTTTTAGGAATATACCTTTGAAGGACCATCTAGGCTTCTAAAAAGTTGAATTTTTAAGAATATGTTTTGACGATGCTGGTGGGGTGTGTTTTCAAAAATATATTTTGAAATTGTTAAAAATATTTCGTTGAAATATTTTTAAGGACCAACACACACATAAATACGTACTTTTTAAAGAATACTTTTACAAGGACTAACAGACCCACTAAACGTGGATTTTTAAATAATATTTTTTCGAAGGCCAACTGATAAATAAATGGGCGTTTTTACAAATTATTTATTTTTAAATATTATTTTTAAAAGGTACATTAGTGGCCCAAACGTGGATTTTTAAAGAATATTTTTAGAAGGTCCATTATTGCCCCAAACGTGGATTTTTAAATAATTTTTTTAGAAGGTCCATTAGTCACCCAAAACGTGGATTTTTAAATAATATTTTTATAATATCCATTAGTGACCCAAAACGTGGATTTTTAAATAATATTTTTAGAAGATCCATTAGTGACCCAAAACGTGAATTTCTAAAGAATATTTTTAGAAGGTCTATTAGTGACCCTAACGTAGATTTTTAAAAGCATATTTTTAGATGGATCATTAATCTCCTAAACTAGATTTTTTAAAAATATTTTTGAAAGGTCAATTAGTGTCCCAAACATGGATTTTTAAATAATGTTTTAGAAGGTCCAAAAGTGACCCAAACGTGAGTATTTTAAGAATATTTTGTAAAAGGTCTATTAGTGACCCAAATGTTAATTTTTGAATAATATTTCTAGAAGGTCCATTATAGACCCAAACGTGGGTATTTTAAATAATATTTTTAGAAGGTCCATTAGCGACCCAAACGACCCTTTTTTTTTGTAGAAATGTATTTTTTTATGAATGGTATTAAAATATTCCTTAGGACCAGGAAAGTGCATTTTATAGAATATCCTTTAGCATCCGAGAAGTGTATTTTTGAAGAATATTTTAAAAGGCCTGTCAGATTCCCAAATTCTTGATTTTTAAAAATAATTTTAAAATCCCTATTTGCATCCAAAAACATGGATTTTTAAGAACATTTTTTGAAAGGGGTATCAATGTCTAAAAACGTAAATTTTGGAAAAAATTTTTAGGGGGCCTATACAATCCTAAAAGAAGTTTTTTTCCGGATTTTTTTCAGAATATTTTAGCATTATCTGTCAGAGTCCGAAACATATATTTTTCATGAATGTTTTGATAGACCTATCAGCATCCGAAAATGTTGTTTCAAGGATATTTGTGCTAAGTTTTTTAATACAAAAAGACGAACTGATGACAGTCTTAACAGACGACTTAAAGTGAGTCTTTATAGACGGGCTTATGATAGTTTTTATAGACGAAACGGAAGCCTATATAGATAAACTAATTAAAATTTTGTAGATGATCTCAAATAAGTCCTGAAGCTCATTTCTACAGACGAGCTGAGAAGGGACAATTTATAGAATTTCAGCTGACAGTGTTTTAGACGATTTAAAAGCGAAACACTCTGTGGTCGAAGCAGTCTTTATAGACGACCATAAGGATTTAATTTTAGATGAGCTAATGAGGACCTGAAGGGAGGCTAAAGAGAGACCTGAAGGGAGGCTAAAGAGACGGGCAGAAGGGAAATTTTATAGGCGAGCTGGAAGGAGTCTTTATAAACGAGATGAAAGTAGTTCTTATAGACGAGCTGACTGGGAGTCTTTAAAAGATACAGAATGGCTTTTTTACTGTCGAGCAGAAAGGAGTACCCATAGACGAGCTGTAAAGAGAATCTATATGTGGTGAAGGGACGTATATAAAGAAAGCTAAGGCAGCCTTTTAGAGTCTATATATTCAAGGTGTGAACCGAGCTATGGATAATGTTTATGAACGACCTGAAGAGAGTCTATAGACTGAAGACAATCTTTAAAAACGTTCTCAAGAAAGTCCCTAAACTGAGGAAATTTTCTATAGACGATATGAAAGAACAGATGAAGTAAGTCATTACAGACGAGCTGAAATAAGTCTTTATAGTCATGCCAAGAAAAACTTATGCAGCTAAAAATGAGAGACAACTAATAGACTGTTAGATTGAAATATTTTTTATAAGAACTCTATTGAGCTTTAAGGAAATACCTAAGTTTGGATAACCAGGTTGAAAAGAGTAAGACCTATGTTTGGATATCCAGGCTAAAAAGAGTAAGAGTAAAATATGGAGTTTTTATAGACGACATAATGGAAACATTGTTAGATAAACTAAATAGGGTCTTTCTAGACCTGAACTGATGTGAATATTTATAGACGAGTTGAAGAAAGTTCAATTTTTATACCCAACCTCTAGGGAGTTTTTAATAAAAGAATTGAAAGGAGGTTGTAAAGACAATCTGGAGGCAAATTTGTAGACGAACTTAAAGCAGTCATTATATGGTTCTGTCCACATATAGTCTTCATAGAAGTTCAGGAAGAAGTTGGAAGGAAGGCAAACTGAAAGGGAATATTTATAGACAAGTTGAAGGTGGTCTTTATAGTCGAGCTGAAGGAAGTCGTCATAGAAAAGGCCAATGTTATCTTTATAGACGATTGGAGGAAATTTTTTTTAGACGAAGAATATACTGTATTTATGGAAGATAAAAAAGTGCCATTATAGACACCATGAAGGCTAGCGAAAATAGTCTTTATAAACGACCAAATGGAATTTTTTAAAAACTATCGGAAGTGAATAAAGTTGAAAAGAATCTAGGTAGACAAGTTAAAGGGATTCTCAAAAGTCGAGCTAATTGTATAATTCCCTAAACAAGGTGAAGATTTGAAGGGAGTCCTTTTACAAGGGGTATTGCATACAATAAAAGTTACCGTGTGGACGGGCTGGCGGGGCTTGATTTTTGTAAGCAGGTTGAAAGAAGGCTGAAGAGGTCTTAATGTGTTTAAAATATTACGAGCTGATGGCTGTCTTATAGACGGGATAAATGCGGTCTTTAAGTGCGGTCGGGACGCGGTCTTTGTAGAAAAGCCGAAGGCGGTCTTTAAACACGACTTAAAGGCAGATATAAAGACGAGCTAAAGGCTGTTTTTAAAGACGAGCTAAAGGCGGTTTTTAAAGATGAGCTAAAGGCGGTCTTTAAAGACGAGCTAAAGGCGGTCTTTGAAGACGTGCTAAAGGCGGTCTATGTAGATGGTCTAAAGGAGGATTTTATAGGCGATTTGAAGACGATCTAAAGAGGTCTTATAGGTTACCATATTTGTTACATAAATAGTTTCGTATAAAAAAAAATAAAAAAATTAAATTAAAGAAATATAAATTACAAAAATATATGGAACAATTATTAACAAAAATTCCTAACTACTACAAAAAATTCTTGATCATTGATCATTGTTCTTAAAATCTAACTTCTTTCAATCAATTCAAATCAAATCACTTAGAAGCGAATTTGATTCTATTACATTTAAAAATAGGTATTTTTCACAAAATTGCTTTGTTTTTCTAACTTAATTTTAGAAAAAATGATTTTTAGATGATTTGGATTTTTTTTTAGTTTTCATTTGATTTTTTGTTTTTAAAGCCATTTACCTATTTCTAATCTACGATATTTGTTAAGTGAATTGTGAGAATGTTTTCTGATTAGTTTTTTGCGTAAATTTGTTTCATTCTTACTCGTACCGTGCGAGAATTGTTTCGTTGTTCCATTCTGTTGGAAATCGTGGAATGATACGTGATTTTGTTTGACGCCATCCTGGTGTGGGGAGAGAGAGAGAGAGAGTAGAGAAAAAGTATTAAATTATTGGGAAATTATTGAAAATTGGAAATAATTCTGACCTTGTTAGCACCGCGTTTACTGCGCTTGTGATGTTTGCGATCATTGAACATGCGTCGGAAATTCATTTGCATTTTGTAGTTCACCTGAAATGGCAAAATATTTAAATGGGTTATTATTTCTAAATTAAATTGGAAAAATAATGAATTTGATATTGAAATTCGGAAGGAGATTTTGAGACACAACTACAACACATCTAATACTTAGCTACGGGAAAATTCCATTTGGGGGGAAATGGGGTAGAGTAATTTCACCAAAGTAGAGATGATGGGTCTTGACCAATGCAGCAGATATGAATATGGATGATGATATTGCCGATGTCTGTGCCTTTGTATTTAGATGTGTGTGTGTGTGTGGGTGTGGGGGTATGGCCTCCCAGGTTACCAAATAATTTGACATACATATTTAAAATTGAAATTGTGTTGAAATATTGTCCATTCAGATTGGACATCAGTCCCTTATCTATTTTTGGAGGAAATTTGTTCTGGAAAATTGGTTACCCAAATTTGAAATTTAAAACGAAATACTTAAATCTGTAACCGAATAGTTTGGTTTAAGGTTATCTTTCCGTTCAAAATATTTGGTATCCTGGGTAGAGCTTGGGATTTAAATGATGTATTTTCGTTTTTTTTTTTTTTTTTTTTTTTGTCCGCTTTTTACTCACCTGCGTGGATAGATCTCTGTCATCTACAGCGTGACGGCTATAACTAAGACGACGGTGCTGTAAAAATTAAAAATGTTTTTTGGTTTTTTACTACAAACTTGCAGACAGATATTGGTTTTTGCTTTGCATAATTTTTTTTTAATTTTTTGCTTTGCAATAAATTCAACAACAATTTGTGGCAAATATTTGGAAAAAATATGCAACAACAAGGATAAGACAAATAAAACAATAGAACATTTTTTTTTGAAATATTTTACAATAGATGTAAGGATACCATTGAATACCGATACAAAGTAAATAGACAAGATGATATCGGTGTTCAATGGTATTGAGGGTATACATAGACATCAAGATAATAGGTTTTCTGAGAATTTAGAAAAGGTCAAGGTTTTGAGGATTTTAGTAAAGATTTAAAACAATGAACGAGTTAAAATAAAAATTTTAAATTTTTGAAACTAAATTAAAAAAGAATTTTTTAGTGGAGTAGAGATGAGCTGAGGGGAGTCTTTGAAGACGAGCTGAGGGGAGTCTTTATAGACAAGGCTGAGAGGTGTCTTTATAGACGAGGCTGAGGGGAGTCTTTAAAGACGAGATGAGAGGAGTCTTTATAAACGAGGCTGAGGGGAGTCTTTATAGACGAGACTGAGGGGAGTCTTTATAGACGAGGCTGAGGGGAGTCTTTATAGACGAGGCTGAGGGGAGTCTTTATAGACGAGGCTGAGGGGAGTCTTTATAGTCGAGGCTGAGGGGAGTCTTTATAGACGAGGCTGAGGGGAGTCTTTATAGACGAGGCTGAGGGGAGTCTTTATAGACGAGGCTGAGGGGAGTCTTTATAGACGAGGCTGAGGGGAGTCTTTATGGACGAGCTGAGGGGAGTTTTAAAGACGAGCTGTTGGGAGTCTTTACAGACGAGCTGTTGGGAGTCTTTATAGAAGAGCTGTTGGGAGCCTTTACAGACGAGCTGTTGGGAGTCTTAATAGCTCTGAGTAGTCTTAATAGCTGAGGGGAGTCTTTATAGACGAGTTGAGGGACTCTTTATAGACAAACTGAATGCGATCTTTATAGACGAACTGAAGGCGGACTTTATAGCCGAGCTGAAGGAGGTCTTTATAAGCGGGACAAGGGCGTCTTTATGGGCGACCTGAAGGCCATCTAAGAGGCCTTTGTAGACAAGGTCTTTATAGACAGTCTGAAGGATGTCTTTATAGGTGGGGCTAAGGCAGGTCTTTATGGAGGGCCTGAAGAGGTCTTTATAGGCGGTCTTAAGTAGTCTTTGTAGACGGGCTGAAGATTTATTTTATAGACGGGCTAAAGGCAGACTTTATAAACGGGCTGATGGCGGCCTTAATGACAGGTATGAAAGCGCCCTAAAAGGAGGTCTTTATAGGCGGACTAAGGGGGTCTTCATGGACGGCCTGAAGAGGTCTTGACAGGCGGTCTTAAGGCGCCTTTATAGACGGGCTGAAGGCAGACTTTATAGACGGGCTGAATGTGGGAAGGCGCACTAAGGTGGTATTTATAGACGGTCTGAAGAAGGACTTTATAGGCGGGCTAAGACAGGTCTTAATTGATGGCCTGAAGAGGTATTTATAGGCGGTCTTAAAGAGTCTTTATAGACTATATAGGCTGAAGGCGGATTTTGTAGACGGGCTGAAAGTAGACTTTACAGACAGGTTGAATTCGGCATTAAAAACCAAGCTATAGATGGTCTGAACTCGTCTTCATCGATGGGCTGAAGGCGGATTTTACAGACGACCTGAAGGCAGACTGAAGGCGCTTTGATGTGGTCTTTATAGACAGTCTGAAGGAAGTCTTTATAGGCTGGCTAACGGAAACCTATGGGCGGCCTGAAAAGGCCTTTATTAGCAGTCTAAAAAAGGGTTTGTACAGACAATCTAAAGGCAGTCATTATAAACGGTCTGAAGGCGCTCTGAAGAGGTATTTACAGACGGTCAGAATTCGTCTTTATCGACGGGCTGAAGGCTTTTTTATAAACGGGCTACAGGCGCTCTGTAGTGGTCTTTTGAGACAGTCTAAATACGGACTTTATAGGCGGGCTAAGGGAGGCCTTTATGGGCGGCCTGAAGGCGGCCCTAAAAGTCCTTTATTGACTGTCTAAATGCGGTCTTTACAGACAGTCTAAGGACAGTTATTATAGACTGTCTAAAGGCGGTCTGAAGAGGTCTTGATAAACGAGTAAAAGTCGGTCGTCATAGATGGTCTGAAGGCGGTATTAATGGACTGACTAAAGTCGGTATTTGTAGGCGGTCAGAAGAGCTCTTTTTAGACTGTATAAAGACGGTCTTTATAGGCGAGCTAAAAGCAATCGTTATAGACGGTCTAAGGACGATTTTTATAAATGGTCTAAAGGCGATATTTACAAAACAAGCTAAAGAGGTCTGTGTAGGCAGTCTAATGGAAGTATTTATTGACTGAAGGCGGTCTGCAGAGGTCGTTATATGCATCTTAGGGCTGTCTGAAGGAGTGTTTAAAGCTGGGTTAAAGGCGGTCTGAAGGCAACCTTTAGAGGCGAGTTTAATGCTATTTTTATAGAAGGACTGAAGGCAATTTGAAGAGGTTTTCATGATCATCATAGACAGTCTGAAGGCGGTCTTAATATACAGTTTTTATAGACTGACTAAGGTCGGACTTCGCAGGCGGTTTGAAGAGCTCTTTTTAGACCGTATAAATTCGGTCTTTACAGGCGATCTTTATAGACGGTCTAAAAACTATTTTTATTGACGGTCTAAAAACGATCTTTATAGACGAGCTAAAGGCGGTGTGAAGAGGTTTTTACAGGCAGTCTGAAGGAAGTATTTAATGACCGAAAGCGGTCTGCAGATGTCGTTATATGCATCTTACGGCTGCCTGAAGGCGTTTTTAGCGCTGGGCTAAAGGCGGTCTGATGGCAAAGGCAAGGGAAGGGCTGAAGGCGGCCTAAAGAGAGTTTATGGACATTATAAGTGGTTCTTTTTGAACGGTCCGATCTTCATTGGCGAGTTAATAGCGGCTTCGAGAGGTCTTTATAGACGATCTAAAGGCGTTCTTTATAGTAGACCGTCTATATAAGCGGTCTGAAGGCGGCGAAAGAAGTCCTTATGAACGAGCTAAAGGCGGTCTTTATAGTCAGCCTGAAAGCGGACTTTAGGGATCGTTCTTTATACTTGGGTGAAGGCCTTAAAGGGAATCCCTATAAACAGGCGGTCTAAATACGGATTTTATGAACGTTTCGAAGGCTGTCTTTCAAAACTGCCTAATTAAGATGGGCTGAAGGGAATCTTTATAGAGAAGGGAAGGTAGTCTCTTATAGACGAATTGTAGGGAGCTGAAGAAATAATAATGAAATAACAAATCATAGAAAGTTAATGTTACTAGAGTTAGGGGATAGTTTTTTTTTTTTTTTGGTTTATGGACATCAATGCAAAGAAAATGTCGAACGAATAACGAATTTTAGATTTTAGTATTCAAAATTTGGTTAAACGTTAAATTTGTGCCGGAAGAACATGAAACGTCAACAGTTAATAAAACGGTGCTATGAACGAATAAAGAAAATCTGTTATAAGAACATGCAAAATAAAAATAATATTAAAAAACAAAAATAAATTATAATAAAAAAATAAAAATAAAATAAATAAAAAAAAATAAAAATAAATTATAATAAAAATATATTTAAAAAGCTAAATAAAAAAAAGTATTAATTTAATTAGAATAGGACACTAATATTTGGCCAAAAAGATCCAAAACTAAACACATATCGGAAGAAATTTTAATGGAATCAAAGCCTAGTTACCAAGGACAACTTTTTCATAGGCTCGAGATATTCTCCGAAATCTATATTGGTTACCATGAAAACTGAAGTAAACCAATATAAAAAAAACATTCCCAAGAAAAGGCACTGCTCATGAAATTATTTCATGTGGATCAGAGCTGGACAAAGTCAATAGAATCGAATAAGATGACTAAAATTTCCGTTTAAAAGGGGTTACTTTTTTGTAAATCAATATATGGACGCTACCGTGTGAAGGCCATAATTCGTGTCAAAGGCGACCAATTCTAAAATTTGATGCTACTTCCGACATTTTTTGCTTCCATTCAATAAAATTTAAAAAAATGTAAAAACAATGGCGTATGACTTTTTGCAGTTTTTTATGTCACCCTGTATTTTCTTGATATGTAATGGAAATATAGATTTCTTTTCCTGGTAACCTATAGTGAAATGTGACGAAGAATATTTTCGTCCTTGACAACATCCTTCCAAAGTGATGTTTTGTAGGAATATTATACAAAAACTTTAAAAAAGCCCGATGAAAATTCGATGAATAAAAAGTAATATTTTCGCGTTTTTTGGGCAACACTGACACACATATTTTCCTGATATATAATGGAAATAGAATTGTCTTTTCTGTAGTGACTTATAGCAAAATTTGACGAAGAATATTTTCGTCCTTGACATCGTCCTTCTAAAATTATGTTTTGTAGGAGAACTTTACAAAAACTCGAAAAATGACGAAAAACAGTCCATTAATTAGAAGAAATATTTTTTTTTTTTTTTTTTGTTTGGCAACATTGGCACACACATTTTCTTGATATATAATGGAAATAGAGATTCCTTTTCCTTGGTGACCCATAGTCAAATTTGATGAAGAAGATTTTTTTCTTTGACATAATTTTTCTAAAATTATGTTTTGTAGGAAAATTTCGCAAAAGCTCGAAAAATGCCAAAGAAAAATCGTTAAAAAAAAATTGGATATATTTTCGGATTTTTGGACAACATTAATACTCAAATTTTTTTGATATATACCAAGAGATCAACATTTCTTTTCTTTGGTGACCTATAGTGAAATTTGATGGAGAACATTTTTTTCTTTGACATCGTTTTTCTAAAATTTTGTTTTGTAGGAAAATTTCGCATAAGCTCAAAAAATGCCAAAGAAAAATCCTATAAAAATAAATTGGATATATTTTCCGTTTTTTTTGGACAATATTTACTTGTATTTTCTTGATATCAAGAGATCGATATTTCTTTCCTTTGGTGGCCTATAGTGAAATTTGATGGAAAACATTTTTTTCTTTGACATAATTTTCCTAAAATTATGTTTTGTGGGAAAATTTCACTTAAGCTCGAAAAAAACCAAAGAAAAATCCCTTCAAAATAAATTGGATATATTTGCGGGTTTTTGGGCAACGTTAATACTTAAATTTTCCTGATATATATTAAGAGATCGATTTTTCTTTTCTTTGGTGACCTACAGTGAAATTTGATGAGGAACATTTTTGTCTTTGACATTATACTTCTAACATTATGTTTTGTAGGAGAATTTCGCATAAGCTCAAAAAATGCCAAAGAAAAATCCTTTAAAATTAAATTGAATATATTTTCGGGTTTTTGGGCAACATTAATACTTAAATTTTCCTGATATATATCAAGAGATCGATTTTTCTTTTCTTTGATGACCTATAGTGAAATTTGATGAGGAACATTTTTGTCTTTGACATCATTCTTCTACAATTATGTTTTGTAGGAAAATTTCGCATAAGCTCGAACAATTCCAAAGAAAAATCCTTTAAAAATAAATTGGACAAATTTTCGGATTTTTGGACATATTTCTTTCGATATTTCTTTCTTTGATGACCCAGAGTGAAATTTGATGAGGAACATTTTTCTCCTCGACATAGTACTTCTAACATGATGTTTTGTAGGAGAATTTTGCATAAGCTCGAAAAATGCCAAAGAAAAATCCTTTAAAAATAAATTGAATATTTTATCGGGTTTTTGGGCAACATATATACTAAATTTTTCTGATATATATCAAGAGATCGACTTTTCTTTTCTTTGATGACCGATAGTGAAATTTGATGAGGAACATTTTTGTCTTTGACATCATCCTTCCAAATTGATGTTTTGTTGGAGAATTTAGCATGAAATCGGAAAATGCCAAAGAAAAACCTTTTAAAAATAAATTGAAAATATTTTCGGAATTTTGGACAACATTAAAACTTGTATTTTCTTGATATCTATCAAGAGATCGATTTTTCTTTCCTTGTTTGACCCATAAGGAAATTTGATGTAGAACATTTATGTCTTTAACATCATCCTTCTAAAATTATGTTTTGTAGGAGAATTTCGCATAAACTCACATTAACTACAATTTTAACTCTAAAATGTTGGTTTTTGTACTATATATATATATGGAATATTTCAACTTGCTACGAGCTCGTTTCAAGTGAGTTTTTAACCACTTTTTGAAATAAAGGACCAAGAAGACCCCTTTGATGATTCCATTGAGGGTTAAAAATTTCCACCAAAATAATCTTCGTATCAGCAATATTGCCAAAGACACTAAATATCAAAAAATTCAAGGATTCCAAGGAATCCTAATCCGAAAATTCCTAAAAAATGGAAGAGATGGCGGAACTTGGCCCTCCTATTTAGGCTAATTTGCGATATAAACTTTCAAAACACCGTATACCCGTGTCTTCTATTTTTAGCTCTACTTTTCATATTCTACTGGGGTTTATCAAAATTTAATTCTGTCGCACAGTGTAATTTGGAAAAATTTTAAATTTGGATAGGGACGAAATTTCCAGGTGCCATAGGAGATAAATTAACATTCAGATAATTTAAAAAATTGAAACATCTAAGATCACATCAATCAATCACATTGAATAGACGAGTTAGTATTGCAGTTGCAGACACTTATTATTAGACGGGATGCAAAAGAGCAGCAGCAGAAGTAGTAGAAGAGAAAGGACACAGAATTTGTGTGCTATACATCAAAAAACAAGATTTGCGCAACAAAACTCAAAAAATAAAAAATTGCCAAAAATAAAAATTATTAAATATAAAAACTCAAAAATAAAAACAATAATAATTAGAAAGAGCATAAAGAGAACAGTAACAACCAATTGTGATTACAGATTACAGGAATAAAAAAATCAATTAAAAAAAGAAACATTAAAACATTTTTTTTTCATATTTTTTTTTTTTTTTAGTTCGTACCATTTGTATGGAGGCCTGGAGTAGGATTCAAAAAATCGTACAAAAATGTTTTGTTTTTTTACAATTTTTGAATAGAATTTCGGTTCGTTGAAATCGAAAATCAAAACATATAAAGCAATGTTTATACGGCGATGATGATGGGGAGAGGGAAGGAGGTTGGTATTTTTTCCATGTGATCAAAAATATTAACCAAAAAAAGAAAACCATGATTAAAAAAATGGTAACCAAAAATTATGAAGGGATTTCGATTTTTGTTTTTTCGATTATTCGAAGGGAAGAGAAAAAAAGAAAAATTATTAATTTTAAATATTTTTTGATTGAAATGAAAATAGTTATAAAAATTTCTTTATAGTTATGTAGCAAATTAAAATCTAAAGTTAAGAGCAATAATAATAATAATAATTTCTAAATTTAATTTCTTAAATTAAAACTTAAAACTATGTATAAATGTGTGTGTTTGTGTGAGTAGGCATTTGAGTATCTATAAATGTGTCTTAGGTGTACTAAAGTAAGTTCTGAGAATAGTGTTGAGATGGTGATAGTTTGGCATTATAGAACTAAAGGTGAAATATTTATAGTTTTTTTTTTTCTCATTAAAAATAAACGTATTAATTATTGCTTAAAAATACAAAATAATATTTAAATATATAAAATACATATATATTTAAATCATTCTTTTAACTGCATGTTTTTGTGGAAGAAAGGCTGAGAACAATGAAGGCCAAAAAAATGCCAATGTGTCTAATGACCGCATTAACAGTCCCCATAACAGAATTAATTATCCATCAATTATCCAATTGTTAACAGCCTCTGCTTAAGTATTAACAGCCACTGTTAATGTATTAACAGCCACTGTTAATGTATTAACAGCCACTGTTAATGTATTAACAGCCACTGTTAAGGTGTTAACAGCCACTGTTAAGATGTTAACAGCAACTGTTAAGGTGTTAACAGCCACTGTTAATGTATTAACATCCACTGTTAATATATTAACAGCCACTGTTAATGTATTAACAGCCACTGTTAATGTATTAACAGCCACTGTTAATGTATTAACAGCCACTGTTAATGTATTAACAGCCACTGTTAATGTATTAACAGCCACTGTTAATGTATTAACGGCCAATGTTAATGTACTAACAGCCACTGTTAGTATAATAACAGTCACTGTTAATGTAGTAACAGACACTGTTAATGTATTAACAACCACTGTTAATGTATTAACAGTCACTGTTAATGTATTAACAGCCACTGTTAAGGTGTTAACAGCTACTGTTAATGTTTTAACGGCCACTGTTAATGTATTAACAGTCACTGTTAATGTATTAACAACCACTGTTAATGTATTAACAGCCACTGTTAATGTATTAACAGCCACTGTTAATGTATTAACAGCCACTGTTAATGTATTAACAGCCACTGTTAATGTATTAACAGCCACTGTTAATGTATTAACAGCCTCTGGTAACATATTAGGAGCCTCTGTTAATGTATTAACAGCCTCTGTTAACATATTAGGAGCCTCTGTTAACATATTAACAGCCTCAGTTAACATATTAGGAGCCTCTGTTAACATATTAACAGCCACTGTTAACATATTAACAGCCACTGTTAACATATTAATAGCCTCTGTCAATATATTAACAGCCTCTGTTAACATATTAACAGCTACTGTTAACATATTAACAGCCACTGTTAACATATTAACAGCCACTGTTAACATATTAACAGTCTCTGTTAACATATTAACAGTCTCTGTTAACATATTAACAGCCACTGTTAACATATTAATAGCCTCTGTCAATATATTAACAGCCTCTGTTAACATATTAACAGCCACTGTTAACATATTAACAGCCACTGTTAACATATGAACAGCCACTGTTAACATATGAACAGCCACTGTTAACATATTAACAGCCACTGTTAACATATTAACAGCCACTGTTAACATATTAACAGCCACTGTTAACATATTAACAGCCACTGTTAACATATTAACAGCCACTGTTAACATATTAACAGCCACTGTTAACATATTAACACCTTCTGTTAACATATTCACAGCCTCTGTTAATGTATTAACAGCCTCTGTTAACATATTAACTGCCTCTGTTAATAAACTAAAATCCACTGTTAATAAAATAACATTCCCTTTTCACATATGTTTGTATCGCAAATCTTGGTCCGGCCACGATTGCCTCTCAGTCCATTTCCTGGAATGTTGTATGTATGTCAGTAACACATAACATAACTATGCATGTCAATTCAAATGTTTGAATACGATTTTTTTTTTAAATTTTAAAATTAATAAATAAATGATTAAAAAAGATTTTAGAGTCTACATACCCGTCTGTATGGTTTCAATTCTTCAGCCAACAAGTGATGGATCTTAGCATCGGTCAAATCCTTTTTGGATGGATTATAATCCAATTCATGCATGTCCAAATTACGCGAACAGGTATTGTCTAAATTGGTAAGACTTGGGCTAAAAACAAACGAGGGAGCGAGGAGATAAGTAAAAGGTGAAGAAGAAGAAAAAAGATATGTTAAAAAATTTTAATGCAAGTGACAAGAAGGCAAGGCGTAATCTATGTTGGAGAGAGTTACATTGAATTTGAAAACGTAAATACATATGTATGTATCGATATTTAATGGAGTGTTTTTTTTTTTTTTTCTCAAAATCTAGAAATATTTAATGCATAATTAATTATTTTTTATAGTTATAGTTAATTCAATTATTATAATTACAATTTAATTAATTATTTCAGTTATAGTTTAAGTGAAGTTTTAAGGCGTTTTCCAATTCTATGTTACTCTCAGAGATTTTGTTGCATTTAAACATCTAAGCACAATCTTCATTTTACAATATTTAGTTAATTACAATATTCATTAAGGTTACAATTTTTAGAGGGTTCTGAAATGCAACTATGAATGCTGAAAGGCGATATCAATTTTAAAATAGGTTCCAAAAAAGTATACAAATTTCGAAAAGTGATTTTGAAAAACAAAATACTTGTAGAGATATATAAAAGGAATTAAAACTTGGATTCAAGTTATTCCATCTACACTCCTCTGCCCTCTAAATGTTAAGGGTCAATAGAGATTTTCCTTTTTATGTTTTAAATCCATAGTTACATTTCCGAACATCTATATATACAAACATTCATACATCCAATTATTACTTAAATCTATAATTTCTTAAAAATTAAAAGCTTTAAGAATAGAAGAAATTAAAACTAAAATCTAAATATATGTAAATAGAGAAAAAGTAAACGAATTTCAGAAATTCAGTGCATTTTTAGTTATTTGTTTTCGGATTTCTAATTTAAAGTGTTTTAGTATTCGAACATTCATATTGTTTTGTTGTTATTGTTAGTTAAAGTTTTTTTGGTTAGTTTCAAAAAAATAAATTAGTATTCTCTTGGGTTTTTGGCAAGTCATTCAGAAAAAAAAACGATATTTACTAGAAAGAGAAAGGAAAATGTTAGAAACGATTTTAAATAAGAATTAATACAAGAAATGGGCATGGTCTTTGTAAGGTTCCCTAAAACTGAAAGTGTTATACAGCTTCTAAAGGGAGACAAGAAATGAAGTAAATTTTAAAGAAAGGATATGGCTATAATTTATTGTATTAAGTCTCTATAAATTAATCAAGTCCCTGTTAATTAATTATCAGTCCCTGTTTACATTTAGCAGTCCTATTCTATGAAACCCACTTAAATTTTTCCATAGCCCAGACTCAAATTTGGACATTGGAATTACGAGAAAATTCACAGAGAATTGGGAAACTCTGCTAGATTTGTTGAAAATTGGTAGGGGTTTCATATACAAAATTAATCGTAAACTTGTAAGGGTACATAGTGAGTATACAACTTTTATTTGTTCGGAGACTCACAATGAAATTTGATCTAGAATATTTCTTCCTTTCACACTTTTCTCAGATTAAAAATGTATAAGATTAATAGCCTTAAACGTAAACACCTAATTTATACTTGCAATATATAAATTCCGAATGTCAATTTCTTAAAAAACTATCGCACTCAGATATATGGGTTATTCTGAGACTTCTAATTATATTTTGTGTAGAATATTTTTTTCCTTAACACTTTCTGTCTAAAATGAACTTTTATGTTACTTTCAGGCGTCAACTCGAAATAAGGCCAAAGAAAAATCCATGGAAAAATATAGGAAATATTTTCGACTTTTTACAAAATTTAAACAAATATTCTCTTTGTATGGAATGGAAATACAGATTTCTTTGCTTCGGTGACTTATGAGGGAATTTGATAGGGATTATTTTTTTCTTTGACATCATCATTCTAAAATAATGTTTTGTTGGAGAATTTTGTATAAACCCAAAAATAGACGAAGAAAAATCCATGAAAAGATTGGAAAATATTTGCGTTTTTTTTTTTTTTTTTTTTTTTTTTTTGACAACATATTTTCTTTATAAATAATGAAGATAGAAAATTCTTTTCCTCGGTAACTTATAGTGAAATTTGATGAAGAATATTGTTGTCTTTGAGGCAATTGTTCTAAAATGATGCTTTATTGGAGAAATGTACAGAAACTAAAAAGTCTTTGGAAAAATTCATAATATAAAGGAAATATTTTTGCGTATATTTGACAAGATTGATGCACATATTTTCTTGATATATAATAGAGGTAGAGATTTGTTTCCCATGGTGACTTTTAGTGAAATTTGATGAAGAACATTGTTGTCTTTGAGGCAATGCTTCTAAAATGATGTTTTGTAGGAGAAATTTACATAAACTAAAAAGTCTTTAGAAAAATCCATAATATAAAGGAAATATTTTCGCGCTTTTTTGGCAACATTGATAACACATTTTCTTGATATATAATAGAGATAGATATTTCTTTTCCATGGTGACTTATTGTGAAATTTGATGAAGAATATTGTTGTCTTTGAGGCAATTCTTCTAAAATGTTGCATTGTGGGAGAAATTTACGTAAACTAAAAAGTCTTTAAAAAAATACGTAAAAATAGGAAATATTTTCGCGCTTTTTTTGGCAACATTGATACACACAATTTCTTAATATATAATGGAGATAGAGATTTCTTTTCCGTGGTGAATTATAGGGAAATTTAATAAAGAACATTTTCGTCTTTGAGGAAATTCTTCCAAAATGTTGCTTTATAGGAGAAATTCACATTAAGTAAAAAGTCTTTTTAAAAAAATCCATAAAAAAGGAATTTTTTTGTTGGCAAGATTGATAGATGTTTTTTTCATGATATATAAATGAGATAGAGATTTCTTTTCCGTGGTGACTTATAGGGAAACTTGATGAAGAATATTGTTGTCTTTGAGGCAATGCTTCTAAAATGAAGCCTTGTAGGTAAATTTTGCAGAAAGCAAAAAGTCATTAGAAAAAATCCATAAATAATAAGAAATATTTTCGCGTATTCTTTGGCAACATTGTTGTAAATATTATCTTGATACATATTGGAGATGGAGATTTCTATTCCTTGGTGACTTCTAAGAAAATTTGATGAAGAATATTTTTTTCTTTAACGGCATTTTTCTCAAATATCGTTTTGTGGGAGAATTTTACAAAAACTAAAAAGCCTTTAGAAAAATCCATAAAAAAATGCAAATATTTCCAATTTCTTTTGTTTTGCAACATTGAAGCTCATATTTTATTGATATTTAATGGAGATGGAGATTTCTTTCCCATGATGACTTATAGTGAAATTTGATCAAGAATATTGTTGCCTTTGAGACAATTCTTTTAAAATGATGTTTTATACGAGAATTTTACATAAACAAAAAAGTCTTTGGAAAAATCCATAAAAATTGGAAATATTTTCGAGTTTCATTGATGCAAATATTTTCTTGATATATAATGTAGATAGAGATTTCTTCTCCATGGTGACTTATAGGGAAATTTTATGAAGAACATTTTTGGCTTTGAGGGAGTACTTCTAAAATGAAGCCTTGTAGGTAAATTTTGCAGAAACCAAAAAGTCATTAGAAAAAATCCATAAAAAATAGGAAATATTTTCGTGTATTTTTTGGCAACACTGCTGTAAATATTTTCTTGATATACATTGGAGATAGAGATTTCTTGTTTTTGGTGACTTATAAGGAAATTTGATAGAGAATATTTTAGTTATTGGGGTAATTCGACTAGAATGATTTTTTGTGGGAGAATTTTATATAAACTTAAAAGTCTTTAGAAAAATCCATAGAAAATTGGATATATTTTCGCGTTTTTTTTTTTGGTAACATTGATGCAAATATTTTCTTGATATATAATGGAGATAGAAATTTCTTATCCAAGGTGACTTATAGTGAATTTTGATGAAGAATATTATTGTCTTAGAGACAATTTTTCTAAAATGATGTCTTATAGGAAAATTCTGCCTAAACTAAAAAGTCTTCAGAAAACCCCATAAAAAATAGGAAATATTTTCGCGTTTTTTGGCAACATTGATGCTAATATTTTCTTGATATATAATGGAGATAGAGATTTCTTTTCCTTGGTGACTTATAGTGAAATTTGATGAAGAGTATTTGAGTCTTTGACGTCATTGTTCTTAAATGATGCTTTGTGGGTTAATTTGACATAAATTAAAATGAGGTCCAACTTCAGTCAAAAATGAGTTTATTTCTGTCGCCCATTGCTTTTCGAAAATAGTTAGGGATAGCTCTTAGGTTTAAATTGTTCCGAATACTACATCTGTCCCTCTCTATCTAAATTCTAACTGAATTCCATGTCTTCCCATTCAAGAGCTGTTTCTATTGGGTCTCACGAAATCAGTCTCTAATGTTAAATGACACAATAGTTTTAAATTAAAATAATTCGATAGACTATTAAAAAGGGTTACATGTAAGTAGAAGAGGGAAAAGAGAGTTTAGTTAGTAAACACACGATACAGCGAAAAGGAGGAGAGCATGCTTCGACTTTTTCAATTCATACTCATTTGGCATTACTTTCCAAATATTCGAAAAGACAAAAAAGAAAATTAAACAAATGAAAGGAAAGGAAAGAAAAGTTAAATCATAACAATCAAAACAAATACATGCACGTCTAGTTGCTGCACTTATGTTTTTCGTTCAAGGAAATATACGGTGCCGAGATTTTACAGCTGTTTTGCCCAAAGATACGAATACAAAACAAAAAGTCAATAGAAAACAGCATTACAACATTACACAAACAAATTTTCCGTTTTTTCATTTCGAAAATGGGAAGGAATTTTGATGTTTGATGTCTAAAATTCGTTTACCAGGTTGTATAAATAGTTGGTGGTGCCCACCTTCCACCAATGCAATTATTGGTATAATTTCTAAATAAGGCACTCATCGATTCGGTGCCAGTTATTTGACCAATGGTCGAGGGGTTGCGGCGCATAACTTCGATGGCATCGCGCATGGTTAGTTTGGAATAGGTTTCAATGATTTTTGGTTCAGCACCCTGTGAGGAAGAAGAAAAAAAGGGAAGTTGATTAGAAAATATATAATTTGATAGGAAATGCGAACCGTTAGGCATTTGTAAACAGGCTTTAACATCCCAATTTAATGCCTTACAAGGTTCAGAAAACTGAATTAAAATGCGGATAACCTCACCTTAAGATCTCTCAACAACAGTGGACGAATGAAACGATTATCGAAACGCTTGAACTTATCACGGACATTATAGTTGCCAGTTTTACCCACAATATCCTCAATGCCAGCCATTAAATGATCCATAAACTGCAGGAAAAAGATGAGGAATAAAAATATTGATTATTTCCAGAAAATTCTTCCACTCACCCTCTCATGGATACGCTCATTCATGGTGGGCTTGCGCTTATTGGCACGCTTAACATTTAGAATTTTGACCAGCGGTTTTATGGTGATGCCCTGCACGAACACGGTAAAGTATATCACAGCTATGGTAGTGGTTACAAACATATTCTTTTGAGGCACTATACGTTCATCGATTAATAAAACAAGGGCGAATGCAACGGCACCACGCAGACCACCATATGACATGACGAACTGATCGACACGTGACAATTTGTGTAAACGGAAACGATTGGCCATGGCGGACAGGATGATGACACCTGGAAAGAAGATGAAAGAAAAAATCAGGATATTATTCAAAATCTATAGCAATTTTCGAATACTTACCTATAACTCTAAATACGGAACAGAAAACAATTGTCAATATGACAAACCATGTATTCCACACATGATTATTATTGACGGTGGCCACGCCCAAAAACATAAAGATAATCGTTTCAGAGGAACTTGACAACATTTTCAATGCATATTTGACGGTTGTATGGGATTTTTGTGAGATATTCGATTCGACATAGTTTTTCATGGTAATGCCACAGAAGGTAATGCTGAAAGGGAATGGAAAGAGAGGAAAAGAAATGATAACAGAGATGACATAATCGGAGAACAAAATGCAAACTTACGCCAAAATACCACTCATATGGAATATTTCAGCATTCAGATACGCCAGATAGGCCATGACGAAAATGAAGATGGGTTCAATGACACGTACATGATCGGTGAAACGGGTCACCAAACCGGTTAGGAAGCCCCAAATAATACCTGAAAATAAAAATAATTAAAAAATGTTAGAAGGATATATCAAGGAGGATTGCAATGTGAACTACTCACCAATAACAGTACCACCGATGGCCACCACAAAGAATGACCCTACGCCATTCACCACGTCCTGGGCTATAATTTCCGATATACCAATGTGATTGTACACTTCCATCATGTGATACATTACGACCTATACAGTAAAGAGAAGGGCAAAAGAGAAAGAGAGAAATGTTAAAAAATGAAAGACAAACACAGTAAATGCAAGATAAAAGTAATAGAGAGGCTTAAAGAGGCTTTTCGTGTTAACGGAGACCTTTGCTATGTGAAGAGAGGTTGACAATGTGTTAACAGAGGCTGTTATATTGACAGAAATTGTCAATATGATAACACATGCTGTTAATAATTTAACAGAGACTATCTATATGTTAACCGAGATATGTTAACATAGGCTGTTAATACTTTAACATTGGCATTTATATGTTAACAGACACTGGTAATATGTAACAGAAGCTGTTAATTTGTTAACATAGGCTGTTAATATCCTATCATAAGCTTTTATATGTTAACAGAGGCTGTTAAAATGTTAACAGAGACTGTTAAAATATTAACAGAGGTAGTTAAAATCGTAACAGAGGTTGCTACCATGCTGACAGAGGCCATAAATACGTTAACAGAGCGTGTCCAAATATAAATCGAGTCTCCTACTGTTAATAGAGTCTTTAAATAGAGTCAGTTTATACATCGTCGGCGTCTGTTAACAAGTTAACTGAGGCCGTTAATATGTTAACAGAGACTGCGAGCACGTAACTAAAGGCTGATTATATGTTAACAGAAACTGTTAAAATGTTAACAGACACTGTTAATATATTAACTGGAGCTGTTAATATGTTAACAGACGCTGTTAATATGTTAACAGACGCTGTTAATATGTTAACAAACGCTGTTAATATGTTAACAGACGCTGTTAATATGTTAAGGGACGCTGTTAATATGTTAACAGACGCTGTTAATATGTTAACAGACGCTGTTAATATGTTAACAGACGCTGTTAATACGTTAACAGACACTGTTAATATGTTAACAGACACTGTTAATATGTTAACAGGCGCTGTTAATGTGTTAACAGACGCTGTTAATATGTTAACAGACACTGTTAATATGTTAACAGGCACTGTTAATATGTTAACAGGCACTGTTAATATTTTAGCAGACAATCTTAATATGTTAACAGACGCTGTTAATGTGTTAGCAGATGGTGTTAATATTTTAGCAGACGCAGTTAATGTGTTAACAGATGCTGTTAATATGTTAACAGACGCTGTTAATATGTTAACAGACGCTGTTAATATGTTAACAGACACTGTTAATATGTTAACAGACACTGTTAATATGTTAACAGGAACTGATAATATGTTAACAGGAACTGTTAATATGTTAACGGGAACTGATAATATGTTAACAGACGCTGTTAATATGTTAACAGCAACTGTTAACAGAGGTGTTAATATATTAACAGACACTGTTAATATGTTAACAGACGCTGTTAATATGTTAACAGACGCTGTTAAAATGTTAACAGGCGCTGTTAATATGTTAACAGACGCTGTTAATATGTTAACAGACGCTGTCAATATGTTAACAGACGCTGTTAATATGTTAACAGACGCTGTTAATATGTTAACAGACACTGTTAATATGTTAACAGAGACTGTTAATAACTTAACAGGTACTATTAATATGTTAACGGGAGCTGTTAATATGTTAACAGACGCTGTAAAGATGTTTACAGACGCTGTTAATATGTTAAAAGACGCTGTTAATATGTTAACAGGTACTATTAATATGTTAACAGGCGCTGTTAATGTGTTAACAGGCACTGTTAATATGTTAACAGACGGCGTTAATATGTTAACAGGCACTGTTAATATGTTAACAGACGCTGTTAATATGTTAACAGACACTGTTAATATGTTAACAGACACTGTTAATATGTTAACAGACGCTGTTAATATATTAACAGTCGCCGTTAATATGTTAACAGACGCTGTTAATATATTAACAGTCGCTGTTAATATATTAACAGTCGCTGTTAATATGTTAACAGACACTGTTAATATGTTAGCAGACTCAAAAGACTTTCCTCAGCCTTTGGTAATGAATTAGCATCCTCTGTTAAAGTATTTGCAATCTCTGTTAATGTAGAAAAGCCTCCGGGAATGATTTAAACCCCTTTGGTAACTTATTAAGCGCCTCTCTTTAATTGCAACCACTGTTAACGTATTAACAGCATCTGTTGCTATGTTAAAAGCCCCTGTTAATGGTTTTTTTAACTTATTCTGTTAACGCCATGAGCGGCTCTGTTAACGCATATCAATCTCTTTTAATGTATTTAAACTTTCTGTTTATGTCTGCAGATACTATGTTAATGTCTTTAGAAACTATGTTAGTGTCATAACAGACTATGTTAATGTCTTCAATGACTAAATTAAGGTCTTAACAGCTTCTGTTAATGTATTAGCAGGTCCTGATAATGAATTAGCAGGTCCTGTTAATGCATTAACAGTATATATTATCACATTAACAGCCTCTGTTATTGCATTGCAGCCTCTGTTAATGTGTTAACAACCTCTGTTATTGAATTAGAGCTTCTGTTAATCTCTCCGACGACTCTGTTAATGTTTTTTTAGACTCTGTTAATATCCTACCAGTATCTGCTACCTATGTTAATGTCCTAGCAGTATCTGCTAACGTATAACAGTATCTGTTAATGAATTAACAGCATCTGTAAGCATTGATAACCTCTCTTTTAAGGTAGAATAGCCTACGTTAACGTAGTCCATGTCTACGTTAACATATTAACAGCCTTTGTTAAGGTATTAACATTTTCTGTTAAGATACTGTTAACTCTGCCCATACTTGAATAGCCAATGTAATATCAATTGAGAAGATTTTATTGACAGCGTCTTTTCGTTTCTCTCAAAACTTTTAATAATCATTATTAAAAAATAGTCCTGCATTAGAATTTAAATACCCTGGCAGATATTTTGATTGTTCTCCCCTAATGGGCACAAATATTTTCATATCCTTTCTTATTCAAATTGAGTACAACACGCAAAATGTTAACAACATTGTGTTCAATTTAAAAGTGTGTAGATGACATAGAATGATGAGCGTGATGTTCTCTTTGCCTTGTAATGGCATTTTCACATTTTAGTTTGCCCGAGCTCGTGCTTCTCATGTCATCTTCTGGCAATTTGACATTTCAGGTAGATGATATGATAAACCCCCCCATCTCTTTTTACAACAATTATGATGTTGGTGATGCTGATGCTGATGTGTCGTCCGTGCGTGGCACTTTTTTATTGTTGTTCTCGTTGTGTCCACTCTCCACGCATATCTGATGAACACACATCTCCGTTTTACATTTTCGTGTCAAGAATCCACTTGATGTCAACATGTTTTGAAATGAGCATTCAGTCAGTGTTTGGTATTTAAGAAAGAAAACACATTTTTCATTTCAAGGTCAGAACATTTTTTTCCAAAAGGTTGCATGTCAAAGTTTTGCGTGTGTCCACCCAAGTGCGATTGACCCTAGGAAAGTTCAGGGACATGATTTCCAGGAAATGGTTATTAAAAAATTAATTATTCAGAATATTTTTTTTTTTAATTTTAGAAGAGGACATTGTGAAAATAGGTAGCTGGTGGGAATAAATTAAGAGATTCTATTTAAATAGAATGTGAATATATTCGATTTAATAAATACTTTTTAATTTTGGAGGTATAAATCCCAGAGGGGAGGGGAGAGACTTGGGTCTCACCTACCAGTATAACACCAGTAGTCTACTTTGGAATCCTCCAACATGTAATTTAGTAACACCTTTTGCCCTTTTGTAAGAACCCCCTCAAGTGACAGTTGTTCTGAATTGTCATAACCCCATTCTTCAAATGTCAATGCAAATACTTAAGTCCTCAAAATACCACACTCACACAAACACTCAAAGATGACATAAAATTGCCAACAATTCGAAGCAGCAATTCAAAGCCACAATTCTCATACCATAAGGACCTCACACACACACACACTCACCCACTCTCAATCAAGCCCACAATGAGAGCGCCCCGGATTCTAATAACACCAACCACACAATCACTTACCGTCACAGCATCGTTGAGTAGGGATTCTCCGAAGACGACAATGTAAAGAATTTCATTGACATGGATTTCTTCGAAGACGGCCAACACAGCCACAGGATCCACAGCCGAGATAAGAGAGGCAAAGATGAAAATGTCCAAGAAACGGGGAGTATCTTCGGGACCACCGAAAATGCCAGTCAAGCCACAGGCATACAAAGAACCACCTAAAATGGTAATGGAAAACAAATACAATGGATAATTAGATGAATGTATGTATGTGTGTCATTTTGTTATTAATATTATTGGAAATCCAGGAAAGCATGGGTGTGTAGTGGTTACACCACACACACACAAACACATTATTCAATTGTAATATTGTCAATGACATTTATATCTGAGGATTTGCGTCATTAACTTCGAGGGCTTCACCAACCCACAAAGGGATATTTGAATGTCAACAATGTACATGTAAGGGTATTTACATTGTCATATGGATATTTATAACTGGGAAATGTTATTGATTGGTAACAGAATGCGAAGTTAATGGGGAGAAAAGGAGGAGGAAACTTTAACAGTCAGGGATGAAATTGTATCAAGAAAATAAGTTATATCATTAAAAGATATTGCTAATACTTTGACTGTGCTGTTAAAGATTAAAAAAAAATACTGCAAATACATTAACAGAGACTGCTAATATATTTACAGAGACTGTTAATAACTTACCAAAGAATATTAATGGATTACAAGGTCCAATAAACATGTTAACAGTGATTTAATACATTAGCAGAGGCTGTTAAAACATTAACAGAACCTGTTGACATATTAACAGTGGCTGTTAACACTTTAACATTAACAAAGCCTGTTAATATATTAACAGTGGCTTTTAATACATTAACAGAGTCTGTTAATCTATTAACCGAGAATGTTAATCTATTAACAGTGGTTGCTAATCTACTAACAGAGGATGTTAATCTATTAACATTGGCTGTTAATCTACTAACAGAGACTGGTAGTCTACCAACAAAGGCTTTTAATATATTAACAGAGGCAGCTAATACAATAACAGTGCTTGTTAATACATTAACAGAGGCTGTTAATACATTAACAGAGGCTGTAAATCTTTTAACGGAGGCTGTTAATCTTTTAACGGAGGCTGTTAATCTACTAACAGAGGGTGTTAAACCATTAAGAGAAACTGTTGATCTAATAACAAAGGCTGTTAATCAATTTACAGTGGCTATTGATCTATTAACAGAGGTTGTTAGTCTATTAACAGAAACTGTTGATCTATTAACAAAGGCTGTTAATCTATTAACAGAGGCTTTTAATCTATTAACAGAGGCTGTTAATCTATTAATAGGGGCTGTTAATACATTAACTGGTGCTGTAAACACATTAACAGGGGCTGTTAATACCTTACCAGGACTGTAAATATATAACAGTAGCTGTTAATACATTTACAGTGGCTGTTAATACATTAACAGTGGCTGTTAATACATTAACAGTGGCTGTTAATACATTAACAGTGGCTGTTAATACATTAACAGTGGCTGTTAATACATTAACAGTGGCTGTTAATCTATTAACAGAGGCTGTTAATCTATTAACAGAGGCTGTTAATCTATTAACAGTGGCTGTTAATCTATTAACAGAGGCTATTAATCTATTAACAGAGGCTGTTAATCTATTAACAGAGGCTGTTAATCTATTAACAGAGGCTGTTAATCTATTAACAGTGGCTGTTAATCTATTAACAGAGGCTATTAATCTATTAACAGAGGCTGTTAATCTATTAACAGAGGCTGTTAATCTATTATCAGAGGCTGTTAATCTATTAACAGAGGCGTTTAATGTATTAACAGAGGCGTTTAATGTATTAACAGAGGCTGTTAATCTATTAACAGAGGCGGTTAATCTATTAACAGAGGCTGTTAATCTATTAACAGAGGCTGTTATTCTATTAACAGAGGCTGTTAATCTATTAACAGAGGCTGTTAATCTATTAACAGATGTTGTTAATACATTAACAGATGTTGTTAATACATTAACAGATGTTGTTAATACATTAACAGTGGCTGTTATTCTATTAATAGAGGGTATTAATCTATTAACAGAGGGTATTAATCTATTAACAGAGGCTGTTAATCTACTAACAGAGACTGTTAATCTATTAACAGAGGCTGTTAATCTATTAACAGAGGCGTTTAATGTATTAACAGAGGCGTTTAATGTATTAACAGAGGCTGTTAATCTATTAACAGAGGCTGTTAATCTATTAACAGAGGCTGTTAATCTATTAACAGAGGCTGTTAATCTATTAACAGAAGCTGTTAATCTATTAACAGAGGCTGTTAATCTATTAAGAGAGGCTGTTAATCTATTAACAGAGGCTGTTAATCTATTAACAGAGGCTGTTAATCTATTAACAGAAGCTGTTAATCTATTAACAAAGGCTGTTAATGTATTAACAGAGGCTGTTAATCTATTAACAGAGGCTGTTAATCTATTAACAGAGGCTCTTAATTTATTAACAGAGGCTGTTAATCTATGAACAGATGTTGTTAATACTTTAATACTTTACTTAATATTAACAGAGGTTGTTAATGCATTAACAGTGGCTGTTAATAGATTAACAGTGCCTCTATTAACAGGGGCTGTTAATCTAATAACAGTGAGGTTAATTTCTTAACAGAGCCTACTGAACAGAGGCTGCTAAAATATTAACAGATGCTGTTAATACATTAACAGTGGCTGTTAATACATTAACAGTGGCTGTTAATACATTAACAGTGGCTGTAAATACATTAACAGTGGCTGTTAATACATTAACCGTGGCTGTTAATACATTAACAGTGGCTGTTAATACATTAACAGTGGCTGTTAATACATTACCAGTGGCTGTTAATACATTAACAGTGGCTGTTAATCTATTAACAGTGGCTGTTAATCTATTAACAGTGGCTGTTAATCTATTAACAGAGGCTATTAATCTATTAACAGAGGCTGTTAATCTATTAACAGAGGCTGTTAATCTATTAACAGAGGCTGTTAATCTATTAACAGAGGCTGTTAATACATTAACAGTACCCGTTAATACATTAACAGTGGCTGTTAATACATTAACAGTGGCTGTTAATACATTAACAGTGGCTGTTAATACATTAACAGTGGCTGTTAAGACATTAACAGTGGCTGTTAATACATTAACAGTGGCTGTTAAGACATTAATAGTGGCTGTTAATATATTAACAGATGCTGTTAATACATTAACAGATGCTGTTAATACATTAACAGAGGCTGTTAATACATTAACAGAGGCTGTTAATACATTAATAGTTGCTATTAACACATTAACAGAGGCAGTTACTACATTAACAGTGGTTGTTAATACATTAAGAGTGGCTGTTGATACATTAACAGTGACTGTTAGTATTTTAACAGAGGTTATATACTTTAACAGAGGCTCTTTATACATTAACAGTGACTGTTAATACATTAACAGGGCTGTTAATACCTTAACATAGGTAGTTAATACCATAACGGAGGCTGTTAATACAATAACAGTGGCTGTTAATACAATAACAGTGGCTGTTAATACATTAACAGTGGCTGTTAATACAATAACAGTGGCTGTTAATCCATTAACAGAGACTGTTTATCTATTAACACAGGCTGTTAATACATTAACAGTGGCTGTTAATACAATAACAGTGGCTGTTAATACAATAACAGTGGCTGTTAATACAATAACAGTGGCTGTTAATACATTAACAGTGGCTATTATTACATTAACAGTGGCTGTTAATACACTAACAGAGGCTTTTAAAATATTAACAGAGGTTGTTAATGCATTAACAGTGGCTGTTAATAGACAGTGGCTGTTAAGAGATTAACAGTGGCTGTAATACACTAATAGAGGCTTTTAAAATATTCACAGTGGTTGTTAATGCATTAACAGTGGCTGTTAATAGATTAACAGTGGGTGTTAAAACATTAAAAGTGGCTGTTAATTCATTATGTATATTAATTTTTAAATATTAGAAGTATTTTTAAAATATTTTTTTAATTATTAAATTAATATTTTATTTATTAAAATATTTTTTTATTTATTTAAGCCACCCCTTTCCATTCATCATGTATTAATATCTATCACATTTCCCATTGACGGATTAGCTACAGCATCATCGCAGCGATTGACGTAGATGAAGATATAACAGCAACGGTGCAGTTGAAGTATGTCATTACCATGAAACCAATTTCTATGACTAGACCCGATTGTGACAAATGATAAAAATATGCATTATTATAATGGGAATAACAGAAGGGGATCGAAAGTATGGTATAACACAAATGTTGTGACGTAAATGTAATAAATTTAATATTTTTTCCAAATAACTGATACCCTTAGAAAAAATTTGGTTTAAAATAAGGGAAATCCAAGACGACCCACATCTCCCTCCTCAAAAAATCTTCCAAGTAGCATTTCTTAAAAATTTCTCAAATATTTTGAAAGGCATTTGTCTAATAAAACCTATAAATTAATTGCTATGAAATATATTCAATTTACAACTGAACTTGATTTGTGGCATTTGAAATTTATGATGATTGAGTGGACCATTGAGTGGTGGATGTCACAAAAAGACGCCCGCCCATAAATGGTTAAATAAAAAGTTATTGAACAATATATGTTCCTCTCATTTCAATTTCAATTGATTTCCGATCCAGTGGTCCATAATTTAATTTGAATTCCGAGCAATGAATCTTCGTTATCATCAACTTGACTCTTTCGATTATCAATCGTCACATTCAAGTTCATGTCCTCATAAATTATGGCAAAATTGAGGCAACGATTTCTAGAAATCAAAATAAATCAGGTGTGAAATTTGTTGGTGTCTAGGTTATTAGCGATACCACAATGGGAGGTAGTTTGAATTGGAATCAGAGGTTTATAACAAAATTTAAAACATATATATTAAATTTGATTAATTTTAAAAAGATCATATGGAGGATCTGTACCCTTATACCCTTTCTTGAGGAGGATCTATACCCTTATACCCTTTTTACATATACTCTATCTTATAAATACCTAATTTTTAACCGATTCCAAGGTATATATTTTCCTATTCAGCACCTAGTCTCCAATTGGAGTGTTTTTGGCATACAGAGCCCTGACTATGTTATAAATGTCCATGGAAGGAAACTCTGCCTTACAACCTTGTGAATT